GATGCGTCTTCAACGGGCAGCATCAGCAAGTGTTTCTTGTTCTCTGTCGAGAGGGCTTCCACTGACTTTTGCGCGCCTGATCAATCAGACATCGATCAGGTCAGGTCAGGTCAGGTAATTGGTCAGGTCCGACATCGATCTTGTGCTCTTCGACTTGGAGGCTGAGCGCTCGATCTGATCCAATCCGTGCCGAGGACGTCACTGCCTTCCTCCACTGCCGTCCCACCAGTGAGTAAGCCAATCATGCGGAAGACGGACGGTCTGGGTGAAACGTGCATCTCAACGCATCAAACTGTACGCATTTGGCCAGTCTCATCTGGGCTACATCTGTTCCGTTTTACTGTTTCTTTGCGCGGCGCTGTCTGCGCGAGAAATTAGCCATAATTGCACACCGCAGTGCCGTTCGAGCAATCGCCAGTTACTGCTACTCGAGGATCGGACTCCCGTAACGACGCTAATTATAACGAACCGAACCGGCTCGGAATAATCCGGCTCTTCACCGGATGGAAGCACCAGGAAGCCGCTTGGCACAACCAGATCAGACATCCTGCGCTATTCCATGTCCCAAGGTACATCACGCAAATGATTGTGCACAAGAAGCTCAACAGCTAACGGCGCGCTACCCGCCCGACCATCCAAACACATGCGCATGCAGCTTGAATAAACTCTTGAACAAAACTTATTCTTCTGCAAGTGATGTTCTCAGCCTACACTCTCTGTCGTGTTTTAAAGCCGCTCTGTTTTCCGCCTGCTTTCTCTAACATTTCCATTAGTTTTAATCCCATGCTAGACTGTCACCTAGCCGGCAATGGGCTAGCAAGTACCTGCTCTGACTATGATTCAATTATTCATTCCCAAATTTTACCTGACCAACGCGAATTAATAATAAATATTTATTGAGTGCAACTTACAGTGGCATGAACCGCGGTGTGTAACAACGACAAGAGAAAAAACAGCATAAAATGAATATCAACGGACTGGACACCGGGCAAGAAGACCCAACCGATGATTAACGACAACAAGCAACGCGCACACTCACTCACCGGACACAAGACAGCGCAGAAAACGAAGCCCCGCTGAGAAATCACTGAGATCGCCACGAAATCAAGACCCATCAACATCATCCAACTGAGCCACAATTATAATTACAATTAATTATAATTTCTCCAAAATTCCCACTAATATATCGCCGTTGAGCCGGGCGCAGAATAATTACAATTTCATCCGGAAATTCCCGATAATTCCCGTTGTGGATCAGCCGGTGAGCCAGGCGCTGACCCGGCCCACGGAATCGCCGACGTACAACGCCTTGTGATCGCGACTGAAGGCCACCGCCGTCACGGACACCTGGCCGCCCTTGGGGGGGCCGCCCCCGCCCCCGCCCCCGCTGCCGGGCCCCTTCCGACTCAGCGCCAGCGGGATGTTCAGCGTGGCCCGCAGCGTCAGGCGCCGCTGCAGCTGGTCGGGCCGTGGGGCCTCCAGGACGATGGCGGGCGGGGTGGGGATAGGCGCGCCCCCCGGGGGCGGCAGGTGGTCGTGCAGCGCCTGGTGCAGCACCGCGATGTCGTGCGCCAACATCTGCGGGAGAGGGGAGGGCGGCGGGGGCTCCGCGGCCAGCGGGGAGTCGTCCTTGACGGGCGAGGGCAGCTCCTCGGTGTCCTGCGGCTGGAGGGGGCCCCCGCGCCCGCCCATGGCCGCCGCGCTGACGCTCCCTGCAAACACCACCTCCTGAACGTGTTCCTGGAGGAAACGGACCTCCCACTCACCGTGGATGCTTAGGCGACGCAGACTGACCACCGGATCGCGGACGTCGGCCTCCTCGTCCTCCTCCTCGCTGTCGCGGTGCCCGGGGTCGACGGACAGCCGGTCGGGGACGTCGGCGGGGTCGGGCGGGAGGTGGCTGGCCGGGACGAGCTCCTCGGACCACAGGCGCAGCAGGCCGTCGTTGCCGCCGGTGAGGAGGACGTTGGCGGGGTCCCACTCGCTGGCCTGGCTGAAGGCCACGCACAGGATCTGCTCGCTGGGCAGCGCGTGCCCGCCGGACACGTCCAGCTTGGCCAGCAGGTACCCGTTGATGTCCCAGTAGAAGAGGAACGTCCCGGCCGCGCTGGCCATGTCGCCTGCATTTTATTTCCATTTATCACGATTTCTAACAATTTTCTACAATTTATTGCGCTTTATTTTGATTGCTATTTTAATTTATTACAATTTAATATGATTTATTTTGATTAAATATGAATTATTTGGAATTAATTCGGTTGAATTTACCGGTGAGATCGTTGATGGCCACGGCGGAGACTGTCAAGGGATGTCCGCGTAGCTGGCGGAGAAAGGTCAGTCCCTGCAGATTCCAGACGATGCAGGTGCGGTCCTTGGATCCGCTGATGGCCAGGGAGTAGATGGCGCTGGCGGCCAGGCACGTCACCGGCTCGTAGTGGCCGTACAGGTGTTTGTTGAGGATCAGGCGGCGCCGGCGCGCCAGCGTGTACACGCCGATGACGCCGCTCATCCCGGCGACTAAGTAGACGTCGGCGCTGGGGCACACCGCGCACAGCACCTCGTCTTCGTCGCGCAGCTCGAAGACGGCTAGCGGCCGGTCGGCCTCGAAGCTGCAGATGCGCAGACTGTGGTCGGGGAAGCCCCAGGCCAGATAGCGGGAATAGTGCGGCGGGATCGGCGCCTTGTTCTGCTCCATCGGCAGACAGGACTTCTCCAGGGACACAATGTGCCCCACCGGACTGCGCAACTCTACAGATTAATCTGCCTATTATTTTCCTATTTATTTTTTTATTTTTTAATTATTCTAGATTATTATTGACTGTATTTTAATTTTGTTCATTGTAATTTATTATTCATTGGTTTTATTATTTTTAATTTTTATTTGCTGACCTTTGCCGGCCAAGAGGACCGGCTGCAGCCGGCTGACGTTGTGGAAGACGAGATCCTGGCGGCCGGCGGCCACTTTCTTGACGGGATGCGGCTTCTTGAAGATCTGCGAGGGCACCTGGCCGAAGTTGTTGATGAAGGCGATGAAGGCCTGCTTCTCCAGCGGATCGCTCATGTTGTCCAGGTCCACGGCGCCCTCGTACATCCACCCGTGGAACAGGTTCTTGGCGTCCACCGCCGCCGGACCTGCGCATCATTCAACACATTTTTATTTTTATTTTTCCCATTTTAATTTTTTTTATTATTTTTTTCATTTTTTATTTATTTTATTTTATTTTGATTTTGTTACCCTGTTGTTTGTAGCCGAAGATGAGGTCGATCCACTCGTGGAGGTGCGCGGAGACGTAGTCGCACTCCAGCGCCTCGCGGTGGACGCGGATGAACTCGCGGGCGTCGCCGCGCGCCCATGCAGGGAGCACCACGTCGTCCAGCTGCACGCCGCTCTGCTTCACGCCCAGATCGAAGCGGTTGGCGTTCAGCAAAAAGTCCGGTAAATAAAAGAACTCCGGGATCAACTCCTTCACATCGGCCATGTTGTTCTTGGCTGCCGACAGCCACGCGTCCCCCACCGAATGGAACATCCGGTCCGCCAAATCGAAATTACCGCCCTAAATTATTTATTTTATTCACAATAATTATAATTTATTTTTCTACAAATTTTTATTATTTTTAATACCGATTTTTAACGTAAATTAATTTTACACATTTATACTGTTATTTATACTTGTTAATTTTTGTTGATACTAATAAAATTATTTTTTATTTCAAATTTATTTTCACTTATATAAATTAATTTTCTTTTTATAAAATATTTTAATTTTATAATTTTATTTGATATTTTTACGGCATTTTCTTCACCTGTAAATGCAGAAAATACTGCGTAAAGGGCTCGAGTCTCAGCAAATAGCTGGCAACGATCATGGCGGTGGAGTAGTGCGTCCCATAAAAAAAGGGCGTGTCCTTGGTGTGGGGATCCCACTCCTTGTAGCGCTTGACGTAGTTGGACAGGCGCTCGTCCGTCTGCGCGCCCATGGGCTTGGAAAGGTCACGGAAGGTGGCGGGGTGGTTGAGGTCGAGGACGGGGCTGTCGTAGTCGGCCAGGATCCAGGGGAAGACCGGGTACTGCATCAGGTCGTTGTAGCTGCGCCCGGCCAGCGTGTTGAGGAACATGAGGTACTGGAAGTTGCTGATCTCCCCGCGCACCCACCGCTGCGTCACCGACGTGTCGCCCATCAGGCTCGACAACAGCCCGGAGTGCGGTTCCACCTTTAAATTAATTTATTGCAATTAAAATAATTTTTTTTCAATTATTAATCCAATATTACAGTTAAATAATTTAAATTTCAATGTTAATTAATCCGAATGTCCACTTACACCAATTAAAAAATCGATTTATGTACGTAAATACCAATAATTAAACTAAATCAAATAACTTGAAATAAAATAAACAAATAAATTTAATTAAAAATCTTTAAATAAAAAAAACTTTTTAATTAAAGTAATCAACGTATTAATTATATAAAACAATTAATATTTTGTTACAAATTAATTTACAATTTAAAATTATTCTGATAAATTATACTGCATATAAATTTTAAATTCACCTGAGCACTGCGTTTCTGGCCGGCGACGGACGCCGACGCCGAGTCGGTTAAATTGGGCGCCAGCGCTATTAACCGCGCAAAGACCCGCTCGATGGTGTGCCGCGGGAAGGCCAGGAAATTGGTCCGTCCATTCGTGCAGAAGATCTCCACGCCGATCTGCTGGAGCAAATAACGCCGCCGCAGCACCTCCCGAATCTCCTCGTAATGAAATTTCTGCCGCCGGCGCTTCCCCACGATGACGGAGGGGAGGACGGGCTCCCGCTGCGCCACGGGGATGGATTCGATGTCGCGGATTTCGCGGGTGGACAGGAGAGTGAAGCCGTCGATTAGATAAAAATGCTCCCGACCCAGCAGCATCAGGCCTTCGTAGGCGTCCAGGCCTTCGACACGCGCGCAACGAAATGCGTAATTAATGGTGTCGCCCTCCTCCATCAGGCGCCGGATCACCGTGTCGTCCGAGCCCTCCTCTTCCTCCTCCTCTTCGCCCTTTTCCTGCTCCTCCTCCATGTCTGCAACACATTCAACCGGGTTTCAATGTAATTTTAAATTAAATTCCCACTTAATTTGAACTTTAATTCATTTTTCCTATTTTTTAATGGCAGTCGCTATGGCAACCGCCCTCAGTTTACCGTCCAGCGCAGTGGCATCCTCGTCCGTGGCGCCGTTGGCCGGCTCCATCGCAGCGCCATCGCTCTGCTCGGACTTCTTTGTGGTGGTGCGCAGCAGTGTTTTCACGCGACCACCGGCTTGTTCTTCCTCGAAATACGCTCTGGAGTCCCAGCTGACCGGGTAGCGCACCTTCTGTTTGCCGCCTTCCGTCTACACATTACAATAATTCTAATTAAATTAAAATTTTATTTAAGGTTATTCTCAATTAATTAAAAACCTAATTCAATTTTAAATTGATTTTATTTGATCTATAATTCAGGCCACGCCCACCTCGCCCCCGGGGGCTATTATCTCGCGGTAGGCGTAGTGCGTGAAGAAGTCGGCGTTGTCGACCAGCTTCTTCCTGACGCGCATGGGCCCCTCGCTGCTGTCCAGCATCCACTTGGCCAGTCTCCAGGGCTCCTCGGGCCCCCACAGCGCCCGCTCCCTTAACAGTTGCTCGCTCTCGCACTGCGCCCACTCGTCCTCCACCAGCCGGTTCAGACTGCTCTGCGCGCGCTGCAAATGGCTCAGCTGCTCGGCGACGTACTGGCTGACCAGCAGGCAGTGCAGGCGCAGTTGGTGTAAAAACAGCGCCGGACTGATCTTGGCCGGCGGGAGGGTCGCCTGCTTCAGCAGCGCCTTCTGCCGGATGGTGTACGCGCGGACTAAGGAGCTCGGGAGCGCCTTCTTCACCGCCGCCATGTTCATGCCCACCCCGCCGCCCGGGGCGGGCGTCGGCGCCGGCTGACTGCGCCGCTCCCCGGCGTCGAGGAACGCCGACCAATACTTCGCGGTGACCTCCCGCACGAACTCCTTGACGTCCCGGAGGTCGCTCTCTAGCACCCCCCGGGGCGGCCGCAGCATCTCCCGCAACGCCCCGCCCCGCGACTCCACCACCACGCCCCACAGGGACCCCGCGGCGGACTCCAGGAGCCCCCAGCCCTCCGCCACGGCGCCGCCGCTCTCCGGGTACGCGTGCCAGGTGCTCCCCGTCCCAGATTCGATGCTGATGGGCACCCGGTCCACAATCAGACTCAAGCAGTAGGCCAGCGCCCCCAGGAACCCCGGGTCCTGGTTCGCGGGGTGGAAGATCAGTCCGCGGTGGTCAACGAGCTTGTGGAGGGCGTCGAGGACGGCCATCTGCGTGGCCACGGTGTCGGTGGGCCGGGCGATCTGCCAGATGAGCAGGCGGTCCAGCGCGGCGAACCCGGCGTCCAGGACGCCCGCCGGGATGCGGGAGGGGGCGTCCCGGACGCCGGCGGTCAACAGTTGGAGGAGGAAGTCCAGGATGGGCATGTCCAGTTTGGGGAGGGCGCCCTTCCACAGTTTGTCGACGAGGCGCTGCGCCAGTTGGAAGATGTTGGGCGGGACGTGGTGGCGGTGGCCGGAGGGGTGGATCCACATCCCGGAGGTGTCCACCAGGACGTTGAGGGCCAGGAGGTGTTCCATCAGCACCGCGGCCATCTCCGTCTGGTAGGCGTTGACCTGGGAGGCTTTGCAGGTGTCCGGCGCCGCCTCCAGCCAAGATTCCGTGATTAATTGACATTTTTCCGCCGGCAACGCCAGCGAATCCTGCAATTTACGCAAAAATAATTTTTAAGATAATTAATATTGGTAATAATTTTTAAGAAACCATAATTTTTAATTTTAAATAAGTACACAATTTTTATTTCTTTTTTAATACTTTTTATTCTTTTTATTACCTTTTAATTTCTCGACATATACAAAATTCACTAAATCCGATTTTTTAATATAGATTAATGGCAACGCTTGCGATTTCTTGTAAAATAATTACCGTGACGAGCATCCGCAGCAGATCGAGAAGCAACCGGCGCGAATTGGACGCTTTGTTAATAAAGAGCGGATCCTCTTCATTCGCGGTGAAGAGACACCCGGCCAGCGCCCCGACAAACTCGGGCGTGGCGGCGAACAGCGAGAATTCCGTCCAATTATGGTACATATAGATCAGCACTTGCAGGACACAGTTGGCGTTGTCGGAACTCCCTTGCTCGATGCATCCGCGCACCATGGACAGCAGGACGTAGACCGCTTCCGGGCAGACGATGTGGCAGTCCTTCAGCTTGATGGCCATCCCCGGACTGGTCTGGAAGAGGTTCCACCACACACTGTCCAGCGTCAGCGCCACCTCGGGGTCCTCGCGGACGTCGGCGCGGCGCCCGACGAAGAGCCCGAGCACGTTCATCCAGGCGACACTCAGCCGCGCCACCTCCGGGAGCAGCAGCTGCAGCGCCGTCCACCCGGACACCGCCACCAGCTCCAGGTTGGGCTGGAGGCTGGACTGGTGGCTGGGGATGAGGCGGTGCGCCTCGGAGCGGTGGCGGCGCGGCGCCGGGTCCCGCAGCCACGACCCGAAGTGCCGGCCGTCCCGGAAGGTGGCCAGGTTGGCCGGGTGGGTGAGTAAGAGGTCCGTGAGGGTCTCCAGGACCAGGACGAGGGAGTGGACGTGGAGGGCGGGGTGCAGGAAGGACAGGAGCCAGTCGAAGCCGAGAAAGGCCGAGACCAGGTCGGCGTAGGTCTCGGAGAGGTGCCGCATGATGGTGAGGCCCGTGTTGCGGATGGCGACGGCGGGGGTGAGGCGGGACTCGGCCGTGGAGGGGATGCTGCAGATGAGGTACTGCGCGAAGGATAACACGTCGCTGTTGCTCTTCCCGGAGCTCTTGAGGAGCAGGCGGAGCAGCTCGCCAGCGGTCTGGAGGACCTGCGGGTCCAGGGCGTCGTTGCCGGCGGAGATGAGCAGGAACTGGAAGACCTTGCGGATCAGGCCGCTCTCGCATAGGAGCTTCGCGCTGGAGTTGCCTTCTTTGCACATCTCCACAAAGTGCTCCAAGAGGGAGCGCTGCAGCTCCGCGTTGCAAGACTGCCACAACTACACAATTCAATTTAAATTTAACAATAAATTACTGCACAATTTCTGCAATTAATTATAACTCTTAGCAAATTTATAGTTAATTTACAATTGTTACAAAATAAAATGTGTTAAATCAAATATTAATTTAAATTAATCAATATAAAGATTTTCAAAAAATTATTTAATAAAAATTTGTGCTGACCTGGATGTCGGAGAGGAGATCCTCGAGGGCCTTGCGATCGCCGAGATTCTCGCGCGCAGCAACCTCGCGCTCGCCGCCCGGCTGCGTCCCGGCGGCCGTCGCGGGTGCCGGCAGCATGGCGGCGGCGTGCGGCGTGTGGTGGCCGGTGACGGCCATCATGGAGAAGGCCAGGTGCAGCACGTGTCCGTTCAGGCACTCCTTCTTCCGCTTCAACATCATCCCCACGAACTGGAAGCCGCCGGCGCTGACCATCTGATCGCGCAGGAAGCTGTTGGTGCGGATGGCGCAGAATAAACACTTCATCGCCGCGTACACGTACTCCGTGTCGTTGGCCATGCCCACCTAAACAACAATAAATTCACAAATAAATCTACAAATATTTTAAAAATAAATGCCAAAATAAATTCAAAAATAAATCCACAATATTTACAAAAATAATGCCTAAATAAATTCACAAATGCATAAACCAAACAAAATATTAATTTAAATATACAAATAGTGTAAAAATAAAATATAGTGCAACCATAGCATGTAAAAACATGATAAAAATAATCTGCAAAAATAAAATACAAAATAAAGGGCAAACAAATACAAAAAAGGGAAAAATGGACACAAAAAGCAGTGGAAAAATAGCTTCAAAAATAAATACAAAAATAAACAGTCACTGACCATGCCGAGGAGCGGCCAAATCCCGCCGATAGGCAGCAGCGCCTGGTGCGCCGGGCGCGGGGAAAAGAGCCGCACGCCGAGATAGCCGACCACAGCGGAGCCGATGCCGCGGGCGGTCCCGCGCAGATGCGCCGCCGAATTATGAATTAATTTGACCGGCGTGCTGGCGTCGTGCGAGGACAGCGCCAGATGGCGGGCGATGGACTTGCTGTCGTCTTTATTATAAATCTTCCTTATGCGGGCCACGGACATCTCGGTGACCATCAAGGGATTCAGCCCGAGGAGCACCTTGTCGTCGGGGAGATTTAAAGCGGCGCACTGCGGGTCCTGGAAGTTGCCGTGGTAGCCGGGCCCGAGGGAGGACAAGAGGGTCACCTGCGCCTGGTTGAGCGCCTCTTCCAAGAGGAACATGTTGGCCAGGCGCCAGCGCAGTTTGCAGGCTTTGCGCTGGATCGGCTGCGTGCCCACCGTGCCGGAAATGGACGCCGCTGTTCAATTACAATTAATTCCAATTTAAATGTCTTCAAATCAGTTTTATACCGAATTACGTAAATTAGGGACAATTCTTATTAAATCAAAACTGGAATTAACTTACTATCAAATTAAATACAGTAGTGGAAATTTTTGTTAAATTAAAATTAATTTGAATTCGTCAAATTAAACGGCTGAAAATTTTTAATAAATAAATTACAAATTTATATGGAAGAAATATTTAAATTCTCACCTGTGGCTAAATGGGCCGCGCCGCCGCCCGGATTCTGCGGGATGTAGGCCAGTTTAAACTGGCCGAGATTGCGGCTGTCCAGGTAGATATTGCAATATCCTGATTTGACCAACGTCTTGCCCTTTAACAAATCATCCAAAAAATTAAACAAATAAATACAAAAATAAACCACGAAAATATATTGTAGTGAAGTGGCTACGGCAGTAGTTGCGCGTAGCCACCACACTACATATATATATATAAGAAAAAGGAAAATAAAATCCGCTGGCGAATTAGTCGCATACCAGGGCGACGACGATGCAGTGCCAGTGGCCCTCCTGCTCGCGCAGCACGCCGACGTCGGCCAGCACGGTGTCGCCGCCGGCCTCCGCCTCGGGGTTCTCGGCGCTGTTGTGCTCGCGCGTCGACACCAGCAGCTGGATTCCGCCGCTGCCGCTGCTGTTGCCGGGTTGAATTAAATGCACGGAGAGGCAGGTGAGGTTGTCGGCCGGCTTGGCCAGGTGGCGCGTCACGTCCAGCAGGCGGATGCTCGCCGGCCGCCCAACTGTCCACGCAGAACCACGTCACCAGACTCAGGCCGCCCGCCGGCGGGAACACGCGCAGACCGCTGCCGATCCCGCCCACGATGCCTGTGTAACGAAAAACCCAATAAAAATTACAAATAAATCTCATGAAATTATTTACAATAATTATAAACAAACTTTTCATATGTTTAGCTCTATTTAATAACTTGAGCGTATTAAGAAGCCATTTATTTTAATTTAATGATTGAAAAAATGTCTTATAAGAAATAAACTGAATTAAAATTAAAATAAACTGAATTTAAATTAAAATATCTCATGAAAAATTCCAAAAATTGCGGAAATACCTGCGGGTTCACTGGCGGCGAGACTGCCGTGCAGCGCGAAGGTGGGCTGGCTCTGCGGCGCGATACTGGGCAGATACAGCCCCCCGAAGCCCTCGTAACTGAGATCGAACTCGACGAAGGCCGGCGGCATGGTGCTCTCGCGGTCGCGCAGACTGATCATGGAAACCAAGGTCTTGATGCGCGACAACGGCAGCTGACAGCCGGATTGCACGAAGCGCAGCCGCAACAGATTCCTACACGAAGCACAAGGTTAACACCGTCTTTTTAGGGATGATTAAGGAGCTGTACCGTAGTTCGCGCGGGCGCAGACTCTGCGCCGCCAACCGCTCGAGGATGTACTGCATGAAAGGATTTAATGGGTGCTCCTCGTCCGCCAGCGCCGCTTCACACACGGATAAGAGATCCTGCACCATCCCGGCCTCGCACATCAGCTGCTGGTTGCGCTCGTGCCGCACCAGCGATTTCAGTAGCTCCGACACGAACACCAACAACGACATCCAATTCTACAACCCATTTCTTTTATCATTTTTTCGTTATTTAACTTGCTATAATTTTCCATACTTATTTGCATCAAATATTTTAATTTTTAAGCACGTTTAATCATAGAGATTTTTAATGGTAACAATTTCAGGATGCTTACGGAATGTTGGGGAATGAGGGAGGGCAGGAGATCGAGGATGACCAGGACGGCGCCGGCGTGCACGATGGCGGCGTCGCTGAGGAGCGCCTCGAAGTTGTCGGCCCAGCCGTGCCGGTAGCCGTCCAGGGCCATTAAATACAGACTGCGGAAGACCAGACAGGCGCAGTGCAGCGCGTCCGCCCCCTCCGCCACCGTCTCTGGATGGAAGAACGTCGCGCCAAAATCCCCATCGTCTGCGCATTCTACAGTAAAACATCTACCTACAGAAATTCAACAAAATTAATTCGACAATTTAGAAAAACTTATTAATTTATTTTCAAAAAACCCAAACCAAATCCACCTAATCCATTTTAACAATTTAATTTAACAAGTATCTCATTGGCAGAATGCAACGGGTGCGAATTGGTGAGCGGATGTCTTCATGGGAACGTGTGTACGCAGGTGTGCCACAGGGTTCCATTCTCGGTCCATTACTTTTTATCATTTACCTGAACGAATTGTTGAAAATAAATTTACGTTGTCCTGATGTCCGGTTAGAAAGTTTCGCTGATGACACGATCTGCTATGCGATAGCAGACACGAAGTCAGGTGCAGCAGACAAAATAACCGCTGTGCTTCCAATAATTTGTGAGTGGTTTGAACTGAACCGCTTGGTTGTCAATGAAAAGAAGTCTAATGCTCATGATCACTTCAGCGTACAGTCGGGACAAAAGCATCGTGTCGGTTGATTTGAATGGGCATAAGCTTGAACCGGAAAAATCAGTGAAGCACTTGGGAGCGATAATTGACGAGCATTTAAAATGGGACCGACCAAATTAAAAAGGTTCAAAAAGTGCTTATCATGGAGTCGCCCTCATAAACAGTGTGAAGAGCGGGCTGCCGGTGCCCCAACGCGTTGACTTTATCACGCATTTGTCCAGTCTCATCTGGACCGTTGCTCCACTGTGTGGAGCGGTGCGCCTGTGTCCACGCTGGAGCCGCTACGGCTGTCGCGCAAAGAAAGCCATTCGAGCTATTGCCAACTATGCGAAGTGTCCACCACCGACCTGATGAAGCAACACGAGATAACGCCACTGTTTAAGCGATGGAAACACCAGGAAGCAACTTGGCTTTACAAAATTCTGCACCCGGAGAAGTTCCAAGTGCCCCGTTACCTCACCGAAATGATCGTCGTAAAACACGATTCCAAACCGTACAGCCTTCGAAGCGGAAACAGGACCTTCATCGGAAGGACAGGGAAGGACAAGGACGGGGAAGTCCACGTTGGCGTGGAGGCTGAACAACGTTATGAGCCAGCTAACCGAGGCCAGGCGACATTCTAAGAGCAGTTAAACGCTGTTTTTCGTAATGCACTGAAGCATGTTACTATTAATTGATGCCTTTCTTTTCTTAGTACTTCTCTTGTTTTGTGGCTTTTGCTCTAATTTCATGATTCCTGTTATTTAGCCAGGTTTAAATTCCCAGGCTAGAACTCGATCCTAGCCTTTTAATGGGTTACCTGCCTGCCGTACAATAAACAATAAATAAACAATAATTTCTTAAACAAATTTAGCCACTTAATTATTTTGGAAAATTAATCGAATCTTATTCTAAAATAATTACTTTAATTTATTTAATTACTTTGCTCGGGATTTTCCAGGATTTTCGGGAGCACGCGCGTGCCAGAAAAGCAGCCGATCAGTCGCAGCGCATCGGTCAGCGCCGTCCAGCGGATCTCCGTCTGGAAATGTTTAGCATTCGATGGCTCATACCGCATCGCCGTGGTGATCGTCTCGATGATCCCGCTCAAATACCCGAAAACCTGCAAAATACCATCGACACATGACACATGAAAAATCATAAAAAAAGGTTAAAGAAATCCTAAAAAATGCTAAAAAAATGCTAAAACAATCCTTAAAAAGTTCCTAAAAAAATCCTAAAAAATTCATAAAAATTCTTAAAACATTCTTAAAAAATTCCTAAAAAATTCCTAAAAAATTCCTAAAAAATTCCTAAAAAATTCTTAAACAATCCTACTTCTGTGCTGAAGGTCGCGAAGGCGTTTTCCAGCGCCACGATCCCCGAGACGAGCGAGACGAAGGCCCCGCTCTTCCTGAACGCAATCCGCGCGCGATGCGACTCGCGCAGCGCGCCGCACAGACACCGCAATAAATCCTGTTTGATCCCCAGTCCGGAGCGCGAATTGTTGAAGCACGTCAGTAGATGCTGCAGATCGTCGTCGCAGCCCACCGACGTCAGCAGATGCTGTAATACATTCAGCAGCGCCGGCCGCTGCGCCGTCTCCGCCACGATCAGCGCCAGCAAGTGCTGCGAGCCGCCGGCTTCGCGGAACAGCGGACAGTTCTGGTTGTTCTGCTTCAGCACGGATTGAAACACGTCCAATAAATCCGCCGGTACCTCTCCGTCCTAGAAATGACATTTAAATATTTTTCCCGATTTTTGACACGATTTCCACTGATATTAGTTACAGAAAAATATTTAAACATAATTTTTTGACTGATTATTTCGCTAGTTTCTTCCCCCTACGTGTTTTGTTTTGCTTTTTCTAAATTGCGTTTAATTAAAATAATACAACTACCCCACCCTAAACATTTTACGTTTTTTATAAAGGTCATCTGACGACCTTTAGAAAAATTTATTTAAATATTAAAAAAAAAACTTTCTCTATATTAAAACGCTTACAACGCACGCAGCCCCGTTGAATTGTGAAACTTAAGATAAAATGAGCTAAAGAAACTATGAAAAATACCTCCATGGAGACGAAGCGCCGCGTGAGCACCTCCACCAAGCCGACATCGCGGAAGACATCCTGAAAGGTCACGTCGTGCAGCAGCAGCCGTTTGAGCAGACTCAACGCCCCGCGGAAGAACCCGGAACCGGCGTGCTCCTCGCGCAAGACCAGCGCCAGACTGGCCAGCTCCTTGCAGGGCACGTAGCTCAGCTCGATGACGACGTGCTTCAGCAAACTAAACCACACGGTCTGCAGGTCCTCGGTGAGGACGCGCATCTTGGGGGTCAGCACGCTGAGCGTGTTGAGCGCGTGCTCCATCAAGAAGTAGTTGGCGTCGTCCCACACGCATAGTTCGTTGATGGCTAACAAGATGGAGCGCGCCGTGTCGTGGCTGGTGGTGCGGAGGAGGAGTTCCTGGAGGGCTTGGAGGGCGTCCAGGTTGCGCAGGGTGAAGGGCGGGCCCTTGGGGCGGGGCGGCTGGAAGGAGACTTGGCGGAAGGGGGAGGCGCTGATCTGCAGACGCAGCTCGGCCGGGCCGTGCGTGGAGAGGTCTTTATGATGGCGATGAACTGCTCCACCATCTCCGCCGACTCATCCCCGATCCTGACAGGAAATTAATAAATTTCACGCATTTATTATATCGTTAATTTTTAATGAATTTATTCGGTCGAAATAGCATATATGCATTTACACTAATAAATTAAATTCAAATTTAGGTACATTTTACAAAAAAATTGTATATAGAAATCTGTGACGGCCACTGACCGCAGGCCGAATTCGACGAGGAAGCCGAAGCCGTGAGCAACCCGAAAGTCGTCGATCATGGTTTGATTCTTGTCGAAGGCCTGCTGCAGGAAGACCGCGACGTACTGGAAGATGGCGAAGATCTCGGCCGGCTGCAGTTGGTGCACGTTGCGCAGATTGTCCACGCAGATCTTCAGACAGCCCTTACCTATTCATCAACGCCACATTACTTCATAATTCGTCAAAAATTCGCAGCAAAAATGTATGCCATACAACCAAGACCTTTCCTTATTTAATTTACACGGGTACACTCTAATAATACGGACAAGGCCGAAGAGCGCATGGCCACTGCACTACGAAATTCGGCACTAACAGCACATATGCCCAACGGCAATCCAGTGCGCCGCATTCGAAGAATAATTGCCTTAATTGTCAGCGCCGGTATCTGCACTTACTGTGGATGTAGCCGAGGACGGGCGGCGTGAGGGCGTGGCGCGCCATGACGCAGACGGCCTCCTGGCAGCACTGCCGCCAGACGTGGTTGTGCGCCGGACACGGACTGCTCGCCGCGATGAACAGCAGCGCCAGGTCGTCGCGTTTCGCCAGCTCCTCCGCTCCCAGCCCGCTGCGCAACACGTTGCACAGAATCTGCAGCAAAAACACCGCAAAACTCCAACTACTGTATCTAACCCTTATTCATCGTCAGCTTGCCGGAGGTGAACACACACCAGCCGCTACACTACGAAATCCCTGATTCTGTGCACCCAGCATCGCGCAGAATTGAATTTAAACAGTCTATTTTACACAAATACTACGCCAAGTCCACAAAAAATGGTCAAAAAATTTCTAAAAAAATGGAAATGGTAGAGTTTGAAATGAGAGAAATGATTTGAGTTGAGTACGGAAGGAGAAGCGGAGAAATTAACTGGTGGACTGACCTCGCAGATGACGGCGGCCAGGTTGTGGCGCGCCGCGTCGGCGTCGGCGTTCAGAGGCGGCGGGAGGTCGAAGAGGAGGTAGAAGGCCTTGACGAGCGTGGAGGGCAGGTTGCTGGCGCAGAGGAGGTCGGCCAGGCGGCCGGCGCAGGGCGTCAGGCACTGCAGACTGGCCAGCAGCAGCCAGCCGTGCGAGAACTCGCTCGGACTCAGGAACTCCACGATGGCCACGCTGGCGCCTTCTGCAACACACATCACACAATAATTATCATCCCGCTCATTCCAAGACCCGAAAAAACCGGCATTTTCACCATAATGAGCGTTTCCTGCGGCAGTTATGCGTAACAACGTGAGCGGCATTTCGCAATGGCTAACACAATATTACGGGTTTAATATAGCCACCGACATGGTCAAACGATTTTTTGCGTAAATAAATAAAAACTTTTTGTTAATACCGGTGCTGTACTGGTAAACTTTATTGGATTCACTGTACGGAAAATACGGAATCGGACACTTTACTTGATACTAGCTCCGTAGATCGTAAAATCAATTAAGCTATTTTCAACAAAAAGATCGCTTTATTAACTCGGAAAATTGTCATGTGTCCAAAACTGTTGACTGCAGAAACTACAGATGTTTTAATTGGGGGGCTACTGTAGCCCGTACACTACGAAACACGACTTCAATAAACCGGCTGTTAAGTAAGTACATACATGTCGCAGTTGCTGAATCTTCGAGAAACAAAAAAAATCGTAGTCAAGAAAATAAATAAAAATTGACGATCCTTCTTATTTAAACTAATAAAAAAATCCAGAAAATGGATACAATATTTTGCAAATCAGATTCTGACAGTACTCTATATCAGCTCATACATTACCGAAATACTCGTGGAAATTGTTAAGTGGGCAAAAACAGAGTACGTACCGGAATTGCGGTCGCCCGCGCGTTTGCGGATCTCGTGGACGAGGAGACGGCCGACGGCGCTGGCGAAGAGCGGCAGATCGGGGAACTGCGCCTGGATGTGTTCGAGGGGGGCGGTGCGGAACAACTTGACGAAGATGGGGATCAGCGAATACAGGCGCTCGTCGGCCCCCGCCCCCGCCCCCGCGGGGCCCCCCGCACCCCCGGCGCCGCGCGCCACGCACTCGGCGAAGACGCGCTTGAGGTGCTGCAGACTGAGCAGGTAGTCCTGGTTCTGGCTGGCCGCCCCCCGCCCCCCACCACCCCCCGAGGGGGGCGCCTCGGCGGCCGGCGCCGACTGCACCAACTTGCGCAGACTGTTCATCCTTAACAACGCCGAAACATTGTTCCAAACAGGGAATGCGCGATTCGGGAATGACGGGAAGATTGTCCAGAAAACAGGGATCAATCGATAAATGCCAATCAACAAGGGGAAAACAGCTGCCCCCGGCCAAACACAAGCTGAACACACAATTTGGCTGTATGAGCCTGATTAACCCATTACTGCTCCTTGGATGCTTTCTCCGCAATTTCCGCCGAACCCCACGTCACATCACGACAGCGGCTAATGCGCGTCAAGACGGGCTACTTGTGCGCCTGTTACGCGCGGGAAGAGTGGGTCCTGTGGGGAAGAGTCTATTAAAAAGTTGTGCTCAACTTTTAGCCTTGAGACTTGACGAATGCGATTGAAGTTCAGGCGTGTTTGTGGCTGGCAGCGTGAAAACGCCACAGATCGATCGGCTGCGGAACCGAGTGCGGGCGTGCCGCGCTGAGGTTGGTTAAAAGGCGGTTAGTGGGCGGATACGTGGGGCGGTTGGGCTGGTGGCAGGTGTTCGTGTCGAGGCGGAGTAATTAGCGCTGCTAACGGAAGGACAGGCTGACACCGGAAGTGGATGGGATCAGGAGGATGCCTGGATAATTTGACGTCTGGCAGTCACTTCCTTCCCTCAGACACAAGGACACACCGCCACGCAAGAACGTAATTGCGTTTTCCCAGCTTTTCCACGGCGCGTCTGTGTTGTCGTACTGCAGACAATTAAGTACAGTACGAGTACGAAGTACAGTTAAATGCGCCGGAAGCGGCCGAATTCCATTGATTGCAATTCCATTAACAAAATGGAAGGACGCGTAGCGCCGTATCAGTGGGTGACGGCAGCGGAATTGGTATTCCCATGGCTGATGAGTGCACGACGCACGTGTTGTTTTTTTGGCCAGTCGATGCAACTCGCACTGCGCCAGTGAAACCTGAAATGTGTGTTGACATTTCTCATTTCTGCGCAACATTTGAACAACTCGCGTTGCTACAAGTTAGCAGCAGGCGCGGTAATTTCGCCCGATGGATTGGTGTTATTCATGGCGTCGCAGGTTGTTTGGATAACGAGCCAGTAAGTAGCAGTGTGAGTGTGGAGCTGGGCAAATCCGTGGAAGGAAACTTGCTACTTGCCTCGATCGAGGATCCGCGCCATCTGTCATCCATCTGCAATCTTATCGATTGGCTCCTGGTCCGCTCCATCAACTGCCTCTCTTATTTCCTCGACACCGTTATTCTGTATCCGAAGGAATTGTTTATTCTGGGAAAGAGCGAGTGACTGGGATAAGCGGGAAGAAAAAGGGGAAGACGTCCCTGTTTACGCAGCTGTGTGTTGTTTTGGATGTTGTTGTTGTTTTGATTGGGGAGAGGACGTTTGAGCGTCCGTGGGTGCGGGGAATGAACGGTCCGGGGGGCCCCCTGGGCGGGGGCGGGGAGCGGGAGACGGGGGGTCCGTCGACGTCTCCGTCGGGCGCGGGAAGCGGATCCAGTGCGAACGCGATGCAGCCGCTGAGCGACGAGCAGCTGCTGCGGATGCCGCGCGACGAACTCATCGGGCGGCTGCGCAGTCGCGAGAACGAGTGCGTCAGGTTGCTGCGGGATCGCGCCCAGCTCATGAAGGACGTCAACCGCACACTCCAGGTGCGACAAATTCACAAGCATTATCTTGGCTTTTTTATTGATTTATTAATTGTCTTTCTGGCACTGTTGGATAAGAAAATTGCCCGACTATTTAAAACAATTTAATTCAATCGGGAAGATAGAATTATTATTGCAGAATATTTTTTTTTCTTTTAATTACCGGAAAACTGTTGGAAAAAATGTGGATTTTTTTCTGTGAAGTGATAATAAATTAGTAAATAAATGGCATAAAATGAAATTAAAAATATTAAAAAACAGCAGAAATTAATGCGATTTTTACTGTTTTTATGACGTTATTCGAGAGAAATTTGTTGAAAAAAGAAGGTGTTACAGTTGCATCTGGCGGAAGTGCGGGGATTACGGGAGATCAACCAGGCGCTGCAGAAGGACAACAGCGAGCTGCGCGATTTAAGCTGCTTTTTAGACGACGACCGGCAGAAGGCGCGCAAGATCGCCAAGGAGTGGCAGAAGTTCGGCAAATACACCTCCACCGTCATGCGCCAGGAGGTGCGTTGATATCTCTTGCTTCTGTCGCTGTTTAATGCAGGATTAATTGTTGAACAGGTGACGGCGTACCAGGTGAAGCTGTACGAGCTGGAGCAGAAGCAGGAGAGTCTCCTGCGCGAGAACACCGAGCTCAAGGAGCTCTGCCTCTACCTGGACGACGACCGCGAGGCCAGGTAGGCTTTATCCCTAGGTGTATGTGGTTTGAAGGGATTTAACTGGAGTGTGTCGTGGATCGTGTAGGCGGCACGTCTGGATGCGCTCCGACGCGTCCGCGGACGCCGCGACGGCGCACGCGCAGGCGCGGCCCGCGCGCCCTCTCCGAAGGCCCCGCCAGCCCCTCGCTGGCCCATTCCCTATCCGGTACGGACAAACCATCTCTTTTCAAATCGGTTAATTTTTAAATGAATTTTAGAAATTTTTTAATTGATTTTTCAAATGTGAAATCCGTGTTTTTAAAACGAAAAGAAAAATTTACAGTTTATATAAAAAACACTTGTTTTTAATTTAATCGCAGCGTGTTCCCGTTTGTACAAGCACGTCGGGTGAGCGCTTTCCTGTGCGTTTTGAACAAATAAATTTTAGAAATTTAAATTAAATTTATTGAAAGCTAGTTGACAATTTTAAAGGTTAAATTAAAGCGCTTTTAGAATGAATTTTTTACAACATTTAGTGAAAAATGTTGCGGTTTGTGCAGGTTCGTCGGTGGAGAAGGGCGGCTCGTTGAAGAACACGCCGAGCAAATCGCCGCTGACCTTCCAGCAGCGTTTACCCAGCGGCTCGCTGCCGTCATTAGCGGCGGCCGCCTGCGACGCCGGCACGGCCTTCGTGGACGCCGACGAGGAGGAGGCCAGCAGCGCCTCCACGGGCAGCGGCTCCCTCGACATGTCCAAGTCGGAGCCCAACTAAGGCGCACGACAAACACGCCCGCATTCCCCGCAATTCTCACCTGCATCCGGACGATGCAGCGGAAATAAAACGACGGTGTGATATAGGTATTTATTCGGCGGTTTTATTTTTTACCTGTCTTTTGGGCAGTCGAATTCGTACGGTTGTTTCTTCAACGTGTGTTAGTCGCGATGTGCAGCTTTTTGACGGTGCTAGTGTGCAACTGAATCTCTCGTTTTTTTTTACGTACAGTCTCATTTTTTGCTTGATACGGTTGGATTAATATGAATTATTGTAGAAATAATCCGGTATAAATTCGTTGTGAATTTATTCAATAAAATTCGATATAATTAGTAATTAAATTTGCGGATGCAGTTAGTTGCAGTGGTATTTTTCAACCGGTCAAAAATACGTCATCACAAGTAGAAAAAACCCCGAGAGCTGCCGCGCGATGAAGTAATCAGTAATAGACATCTTTGGACTACGGAACGGGAGCAAAAAGAGACGTGCAGCGACGCGACGGAGGCGCAGAATCAGAATTATTATTATCGGGTTAGTCATGATCATTTTAGTGAATTTGGGACAGGGACAGGCAGGCGGTTACGTGGATAACGCGGGGTGCACCGGCTAAACGTACGGGTCATGCAGGACGCGGGCGCCCGCGGGGGGTTAGTCGCCGTCACTCCATGCTGCAATCACAAACACACAAGGTTAACCAAACGCTTTCGTCACATATATTGACTATATAAAAATTTATTTAATCGTCGCCGCGCCCGGCGAAAATATCCTCCACGTCTTCCTCTTCCTCCTTCTTTTCTTCCTCTTCCTCCTTTTTCTCTTCCTCCTCTCGGCGTCCTTCACCACCGTCTCCGTGGATTTCTTCCGCGGCGCTTCCTCATCGCGCCCGGCGAAGGTGTCGTCCACTTCTTCCTCTTTTTCCTCCACTTCCGGTTCCTTTTTCTTGGGCGCATCCTCGTCTCGTCCCGCGAAAATGTCTTCCGCTTCTTCCTCAGCTTCCGGCTCGGGTGTCGCTTCCTTTTTCTTGACGGGAGCGTCGTCATCCCGCCCGGCAAAGATATCTTCCGCTTCTTCTGCTTCCGGTTCCGGCGCGGGTTTCTTCTTCGGGACGTCGTCATCCCGATCGGCGAAGATATCGTCCACTTCCTCCTCCGTCTCCTGTTTCTGCACTTTCTTCTTCGGGACGTCGTCGTCCCGGTTGGCAAAAATATCATCCACTTCTTCCTCTTCCGGTTCCTCTTTTTCTTCCTTTTTTTCTTGGGAGCGTCGTCATCACGATTTGCAAAAATGTCTTCCACTTCTTCTTCCGGTTCGGGTTCCTCCTGTTTCTTCTTCTTGGGAGCGTCCTCATCCCGGTCAGCGAAAATATCGTCGACCTCCTCTTCCGGTTCCTCTTTTTTCTTCTTTTTCGGCGCATCGTCGTCCCGATCGGCGAAGATGTCTTCCACCGGCTCCTCTTCCTCCTCGGCGACGTCCTTGGAGTCCTGGCGTTTCCTTAGCGCCTTCCGCTTGGCGGTGGCCTCGTCGGCCTTGCCCAGTTCATCCCAGAAATCCACGACTTCGTCCTCTTCCTTCTCCTCGGTTTCCTCCCCTTCCGCCTCGGCGGGCGGTTGGGATTTCTTCCGCGGGGCGTCCTCGTCCCGGTCGGCGAAGATATCGTCCACCTCTTCCTCCTCTTCCTTCTTTTCCTCCTTTTTCTTCTTGGGTGCATCCTCGTCGCGGTCAGCGAAGATGTCCTCGACGTCCTCCTCGTCGTCCTTTTTCTCCTCCTCGTCCTTGTCCTCCTTTTTTGGGCTTCTTTTTTGGCGCGTCGTCGTCGCGGTCGGCGAAGATGTCGTCTACTTCCTCTTCCTCTATGTTCTCCTTATTTTCTTCCTTACCATTTTCATTTTCCTTCTGCAATGCATTGTATATGTATATACAAAATGTATATAATCGCCGATATATATATGAAAGGTCACTGAAAATGTATATATATACGATATACATAAAAAAGCATACATATATAGATATACTGATACATGACATCAATCACCGATATATATGAAAGGTCACTGAAAATGTATATATATACGATATTACATATTACATAAAAAGCATATATGCTGATACATGACACATCACCGGTACATACGAAAGGTCACTGAAAAATATATACGATGATATATAAAAAAGGTCACGCACTTCTCCGTTGAGGCCCTCCCCGGCGGCGGTGGCCGCAGCGGCGCCGCGTTCCTTCCGCTTCTTCGGCTTCTCCAACTGCAGGAACACCATGAGGTTGTCCATTTCGTTGGCTTCGTCGAAGGCATTGTAATCCTACGTTGCAAACAATTAAAAATACATAAACGTATACGTAAATGTATGAAAATACATGTACCAAAATGTATACAGACAAATTACATATACGAGCGAATTAATCATTCAAAGTCAAAAACAGATTGTTATATACGTATACAAAATATATGTATCAGATGGAATAAGAAAAAGTAAAAAAATACAATGCGATGTACAAGAAAAAAACTACTAAAAAGAATGGAAAATAAATGCATCAAACATGATTGGAAAGGCGAAATTGTTTGGCGGGTTTAAGCGGGACTTTTTTGGACGGACCCCGAGGAACTGCTCGTCGATGAAGATCTGCGGCGGCAGCGGCGGATGCCGTGGCGAGTGCTTGTTGGCGTGCTGGAGGAAAAAGTCCTTCTCCTGCTCGCTGCCGGGCGCCGTGATGTCGATTAAATCGTAGGGCACTTTGTGGCTGTCCAGCACCATCAGCAGCCGCTGCTGGTGCTTCCGCACCTGCGATGGCATTCATTCCATTCATTACACAAGTACCGACGCTTCAACGGAGCATATAGATATAGTATGCACTTGTGCTTTTAATATTAGCGCACAATTAGTTCGCTATAACTGAGCGCGGAGTGACCGGAAGTGACAAGAGATACACTGTAGTACAGGGAAAGGCGTTTGTCCGTGTACCTGCTAACTGCAACAATACGTTGTTTATCGATAAGCGTCGTGTTGACACTTGACGTACACCGCTGTTGACACTCTTGTCTGTAAAGCGCTTAAATCAACACCGGCGCCGATAAGACACATCGTGTAGTTTGTGCCGCTTCTCCCGTCGAAATTAATCCCGACGAATTGACGCGATGCGCAGCAGACAAAATCGTTGAGGTATCATAATTATACAGGTAATAGAACTATTCCACACGTACTACTCATTAATATATATAGATATCAGGAATTACAGCAGCTGAACAAATATCCGGTGATTTTTACTGTACATGTACTGTACTGTACCTGTGGCTGCACGTATATACGTATATACGTAACGTACAGCAATATAAATTGTGCAATGGACGTGTGCTCGTTGAGGCGTAGAGTTACTGTATATGATTACCTATTATTCACAATAATGCAGCAATAATGGAGGTACACTGGTGCTTTATTATGATTATCAAGCGCGGTGCTGTTTAGCAGTCTAATGCACTGCACTCCACTTCCGGTCGCGCTTGTGTGAGGCCCTGACATGCAAACGCAAAGCCGAGTACCAGCAACACGGATGCGCTGAAGGTTTTATTTTATTATTCTAATCGTAATATAGAAGTATGTACAAGTACTGCTCAAGGTTGCAGCTAGGAAAGTCGATCAGCTAATATATAGATATAGATATACAAATCCGTCGGCACTAATATATTACACAGCGCAACGCAGTGCATGAAGATTTCCGGCTCAGTGTTTCTGTATACTCGTGCTGCACGCGTACAACAAGACAGACATCCTCGTAAACAAAACTGTTTATAACTTGCGGTCCGCTTCGATTCCTGACGCACGTTACGACACCACCCAAATCGCATCCCGTGATGTCGATGCATGATGGTGTTGCGTCGGGATATACAGATATTACATGTACGAGCATACACATAAAGCGTGAATTGCTTATAACTATTATAATACAGTAATAATACATATTACGGTATAGCACCGAGCACGTACATCCGTATTTTTTGATATGTCAGTTTGTATAGTTTTACAATACAGTATTCTAATGTTGATTAATTTTATGTACCGGTAGGTATACTGTGCTTGCAAGCGTGTACTCAACGTATTGTAAATGTAGATATTGTATGTAATATCAGCCGGTTTGACTGCTGTTCTAGTGGGTTGGTTAATCCAGCTGACCACGAGCTGTCGGCTGTTAGTGCGGGAAAGGCTGGCACGGTCGGCAGCGATGCTGACCGGAAGCTGACTAGCGTTTACAGGGTGACGACGATGGGAGATGCACGATCATCCCATAGCGATTACGCAACACAACACGCGGTCATCGCAAGTGTTTATTAGCAAGTACAACGTAGCAAGATTCGGCGAGCAATGCAACCTGAGGAGCAAGCACAAGCGTACGCATACAGATAAGCGTGGGCAGGAAGCGCGGTGCAAGCTGCAGCAAGACTAATTTCAAGATGTTTCTGACCGTGAGATCTGGTCGGTAAAATGTAGGAAAATAAGGATTCTGATCTTCATAACACAACGTAACAACCAATAAACAGTAGAGAAAGGCAGTTAACACTCCTGCTGGTGGTACATGTAGTGTAATTTCTATTGCTACAATATAAGCAGTTTACTAAATGCATTAATATCTATATTCGGCGCAACTACATTCTACATATAAATATAGCCTGCTCACCTCTTTGCTGGAGGAGATACCCGATATATACACTTTAATCACCATCCTCTTAATTTCGCTCGCGGTACACGTAACAGCATCGGAATACTACGTTTCAGTGTCGGCAAATATACTGTAATATGATGTATAGATTCAAGAGAATCGGATAAGGAATCCCAATTATGTCCAGTGCGAGCAAAGACCACAGAGAAGATGCCCAATAACTGCTCACAGCGCAACTGCAAGCGGAAGTGCCATACACCCGCGCATGCACTGTGTCATGGCACTGCTTCGATTCCAGCACCCAGAAATGAACAGAACGAGTATAGCAGTATTATCAAGCCAGGCCGGTTCTTAAGCTTCCGCTCTTCCTGATCACTGTCGCAACAATCACAAGCATATAGATATACGTAATGATGTATTTTATAAACACACGTCCGTGATTTCTTCCTAAGAACAATGGTTGCGCGTGCTGCACAGCACGATCCAGCCGTGTTTACTGCGAGTATAGCTGCATGTACTATGTAGTACCGTCGTGCCGTCGTGGAGCAGCGGAGCGTCGCCTCACCACCGCGTCAACCCCGCTCGCTGCAACTTCGCGCTGCCGGCTGCAGTGTGCTCAGCAGTTGTGCGTGCAATTTATAGTACAGCGTATACGATAAAATACAACCGGCGACGCCTCTTCACTCTGGCTGACTGCACTACTCTGTACGCGTCTGCGAGTAGCGAGCGGAGATATGGATTATCAATCGTTTTATGACTGTACTGTTCCGCTTGTATAAATACAGCAACCATCCCGCAGCACCGGCGACTGCCAAAATGCTGTTTAATTTGGACGCCAGCACTAGCACTCTAGCAGTCGCTCGTTTTTCAAGTTCACCGCAACGGCGATTGCCGTATAATACAATATATTGCCGATATACTGTACTGTACGTATTTGTAGCTACATGCATGCACTATGTACCATACACCGATCGATAATTGACTCGGTTGGAAACACACAGCCCACCGCGGGCGCGGCTAACTGCCATGCGCCGGCAGTGCCCTTTATTCCACCTGCCAGATCAATTACAAATTCGCCGCTTACAGAATGTTCATTGCCTGACGTGGTCATGCATTCTACAAGCACTTTTCCTTCTTCTCCGATTAACTGCAAACGACGCACACACACTGGAAGAATGCAAGTCACTGAGTAATCTTTCTTTGCATTCACCAGGCCTACACTAACACACCAACCAAAGAAATCCATTCAAAATCCATCAAAAATTAAAATCTCCACAATAAAGCACAACACATAGCGGGACACTGACAGAAAATAAATTCCAAGAGAAGACGACTGTACAGCTAAAACCACACTAAAAACCACCGAAGCCTTAACCGGCGAAAAACAGCCGAGGGCACCAATCAGCCCGGCAACCGGCGTCCATACAAGCCGGAAACCAAAGAAAACCAACCGGCAAAACTAACCAAAAAGACTGGATCCAGTGTCGTGTAGCCGCAGCCCGGCGGGCGGTCCGCGGGTGGGCGGAAGAGAAGAGAGAGATACCGACGCGCACGTTTTGGCCGAGGACGCAGCAGCAACCGGAAGACGCCGGACGAAAGCGTCCGTTCCGTTTAAACGGCGTCCTGTACGTTTCACAGCGAGACCAGATTGTTGGGCGAGACGCTCTCGCCCAGGCCGCCGGCGTCCACCGGCCGCGGCGCCAGGGGCGACTTGCTGGAGGGCGTCTCCGTCGAGCAGCTGGGGATCAGCGGCGTCAGGCCCGTCGGCGTCAGACCTAACATAACCAACCAATTCAGCAATTATTGGCCAATTAAAGGAGCACTTGTCAACTGACCGGTGGGCGTCAGTCCGCTGTGCTCAAAGTTGAAGATGAGTTTCGTCGGGCTGGGCGTGGGCATGGCCAGGTCCAGCAGGCCCCCGCCCAGCTTCACCGGCAGACTGGCCGGCCGCTGCGCGCCCCCGCCGCCCTTCTTCCCGGCGGGGGCCGTCGTGCCGCTGTCGGGGACGACGACGATGGCCGGCGGCGGCATCGCCTCTTCCGGTGGCGGTTGAACTGGAGCTTGTGCTGGCGGCGCCGCTTCCGGCTCCGTCTCCTCCATCTCCACGTCGGCCACCACGACGGCAGGCGGCGGCAGCTCGAACTCCTTCGAGCACACTTGCCGGTGCGCTTGTAGAAGATACTCCATCTCCTCCTTCTCCGCCTGCATCTTCTCGATCTCCGCGCGGATCGCCGCGCCCTGCTCCTCTAATCCTTCCACTTCCTGCAAAAATACATCCAAATAATTAAAAACGTCGACACATGACACAGTAATATATTCAATTAAAATCACACACCAAAATAATTCAATGGAATAAAATCAACTGAAATTATTTCCCAAGTCGGAAGTGCCGAAGCCTACCTCGACAAGTACATTGGTGTGATCCATGCGCCGTTTGCGGCATCGTGCCGCCGCCTGTTTATTCCGTTCGCGACGGACTTTGCGCCGTTCCTCTTCTTCCGGCGTCAACTACAATCAGCCCAATTAAATTTCGGTTGAAATGCCAATACACAAATAAGTATTATAGCCGTGAAAATTCTGATAGCAGCAATTAATAAACGCTAGTAATGTGAAAACTGCGTACCGTGTCGCCGTGCCAACCGCCCAGTTACCGCAGCACAATTAACTACGTAGAAATCTATAAGGCGTGTCGCTGTGCCAACCGCCCGCCGCTACCGTACACCGTGCCTACCTTTTCATCGCGAGCAGCGCGTCGTCCGCCGCCGCGGCCCTTGCCGCCCGTGGTGCTGCCGCTGCCCGAGGGCCCGGGGGATTCGGATTGCTGGTGGCTCATGAGCAGCGTGCCGTTGGCCATGCGCTGGCCGGCGGGGAAGAGCAGCCCCCCCTCAGGGGCGCCGGGGGCGCTGGTCGTCAGCAGCAGGCGCGTCCCGGGCTGGCCCTGCAGATTCTGGAGATTCTGCAGCTGCAGCGTCACGCCCGGCTCCTGTTTGATGTGGCTGGCTCCGGAGGAGGTGGGCACGCCGGACTGCAGCAAGAAGGTGGGGATGACGTTGTTGGGCAGGGAGCTGGTGTGGATCAACTGGCCGCCGCTGACTGCTGTGCCGTTAACGTTGACGTTGCCTGCGTTGACATACTGCGCCTGACTGAAGGCCGCCGTGGATGTGTACACGGGATTGGGATTGCCTCCCGGTTGGAGCATCTGCAACACGGCACACTGGTTATCGATTGTTTCGGGCGATGATTCAACCATCTCAACCAGCCGCCGCGGCGCAGCGGGATCAACATCAAATCATCACTGGCTAGCGCGGGTGGGCTGGCTTTCCATGTGATGCACAATCTAACTGCTTACGCTAACTGCCCTGTATCTCACACATTACACTGAACTGCTAGAACAGAATTGCAACAAGTAGCGCACTAATTATACCCTGATTGCGCGTATGCCAATGTATTCCTGTTATGCAACACACTACTCTAACGGATCGGTACAGAGAACGCAGCGGCTCAGCCTAGTTGTAAACAGAAAGCAGGCACTGGTAACGCACGGAATAGTCATCGGATACGTACGATCAAAGCGGGATGGGAATCAGGGAAGACTGGCGATTTTTACCTCCCGGATAAATCAATAAAATAGGATGGTTCTTCAGCGGTATGGACGCTCTTTGTGGTTCACAGACGATGAACAAGACAAAGCTAAGGGAGACCCACAGACAGAAATGGAAATCCGTGATTCACGCACTCATTCATCGCGCACATCCGACAGCGTGCTGCGATGAGTCATCACCGACCAGACGGAGCCGACAACCGACGCCGTCGCGGCCTGAACCGGCACCGCGCTGTTTTCTTGAATCGGGTGTCCGTAGATCGGTAGAGAATAATTTCTACCCTAGATATTTTTTCCTACATGTACATAATAAAAATCTAAATTTTATTTATGATCTTACGTAGAATCCGCCGTGCGCTGGCGTCATCGGCGTCACCGGCTCGAAATCGTAGTTAACGGTCCGGACCGGTCCGTTGGCGGTCTTACTGGCCAAATGGCAGAGAATGTGCGCCGCTTCGGTGTGGCGCTGATTGTGCGCCGAACTGGCGCCGGCTCGTTTGGCCATTGCGTGATTGCAGATGCCGATAAATACCCACTTTCGCTGTTTGTTCGGCCGGAAAAGAAATCAACGCCAACGCCGAAACGGATCTAGCGATCGTCAAACGCCGCGCTATCGGTTGCATCGGGTCTGGCTGATACCTATCGAAAATTCACCGGCCACTCCTTGGAGAAATAAAAATTAATTTGCGGTTACGAATTGCGCACGGCAATAATTCTCTCCCGAATTATACGCGTATATAACAAACAGGTCAATACGGTTTATCAACCGGAAGTGACCACAAAATGTCCTGGATTCCGGGGAAAATTAAAAACGGGATGATTGTGGTTTAATTAGAAGAAACAGTGTGGTTTAATCAATCGCTACGGCCGAGTAAGTGAAAACAAAAAATGCGCGACTGTGGTTTCCGGTTCGGAAAAGTGTGGCGTTGCGTTAAAGTGCGCGATGTGTGTCAGCTGCGTGGCTGTTGTGTTGGGTGTGAGTCATGTGTGCCAGATCGGCCATTAGTGTAATAATAATTTTATATATGCCGCCACAAAAGTGACGTTCTTCGCCGAGAACGGCGGAACGCGTACGAAGCCAGTTGTGTTTATGGCTCTGAGCGGTGTACGCACACTGCAGTGCCGGTTTAATAACAAGAAAACGACCTGGTTTCGCCGCGGTAAAAGCGCAGCAAACGTGTACTGCGTCACAAACCGGACAAAGTATAAACCAGCCATTTTATGCACGTATTTTGACCGAATAATTGTGATAATATTTAGTTTTCTAATTTTACGAAAAATAATTATAATTTATTTTTAATAACTTCACACCGAATAATTATCATTTTTTTTAGTTATTTTACACCGAATAATTTCAATTTTAATTCCACTTTTTCTTGGTTTGTATCAAAAACATACTTTAATCATCTTTAAACAGTTGTAAATCAATCGCATTTTGTAAAAAACAGCAGAATATCCCCGGCGATAAATTACGCTGTATAGTACATCATACACTTTGGAATTATCGGGCAAAACGAGAAGCTTTCGATCGCAGCACGGAAACCGAGGTTAAATCGCAGATAAAAAATTACAACCGATTATTCAATTAAAAAAATACGGATCAAATTAGAAAGGGCGAATATTATTTGCAGGGTTAATCGAAAACGAGCGCAACAACACCGCCTGACGGAAATCATCGGACTGGTCCGCGGAATCACCCGCTCACATCGCCCATGGCACCGCGCCGGACGGGACGGCCGGATTTGTGGATTTACGCGGTGGAAATGGAGCGCGCTTCCGGCAGGAAGGCTTCCCAGTATTTGATCAGCTAAAGCATTCATCCAATTATTTTTTAGTAATTTTTTAAGATTTTTACAACGCTTCCCAGTATTTATTTAATCAGCTAAACAATTCATCCAATTATTTTTTTACTATTTTTCTGTAAATTTTACAACATTCCCAGTACCTATTTATTATTTTTACAGCGCATCCCACTTCCCAGTAATTTTATCAGCTGCAGAATTCGACAATTTATTTTTAAATAATTGTTAAAAAAAATTTATAATGCTTCGCAAGCGTACCTGCTGTTGGTGCAGCATGAGCGCTTCCAGATATTTCACCAGCGTCTCCTTAAAGTCCTTAACGCGGATCTTGTCGAAGCGCTCCATCTCCTTCTTGATCATCTTGGAAATATCGTTGAAATCCTTCTCGCCCTGCTCCACTTTGTCTTCCCACTAAATCAACCCAAAATGTCAGCAACTTGAGCAAATCGCACAAATTACGGAATTTATTCGGAACGATAAATCAAAAATTTATTCCTCATTTAATTTTGGTAAATAACAATTTCTAAAGTATTAACTTAAAAATATTTGTTTCTATCTGCAGTCAATTTATAAATACTGAATAATTAGGATAATTAAATTGTTTAATTTTTAAGAAAAGCGAAATGCCCGCACGGACCTCGCGGACTTCGTCGGAGGCGGCCTGGATCTTGTCGTGCTTGCCGGCCAGCTCCAGCTTGACCTTGGCCTCGCGCTTCTTGGCCAGCGTGCTCTGCGCGCTCGTCCAGTTGGCGTAGATCTTGGTGCGCTGGTGCAGCACCTCCTGCGGAACAATTAGCCATTAATACAGCCTCCGCTGAATAATTCCATCAATAAATAACACAAGAATAAATCCATTAAATTAAGATACGCGTGGCTGGCTTGCCTTGACGGTGGTGAGGAGGCCGATGTAGTCGCGCAGCATCTCGGCCAGGACGTAGTAGTCGGTGGTGCCCTGCTCCTGGTACAGCAGGTCGATCTTCTCCTCCGTCTCCGCCAGCTGGCTGAGCGCCCGCGACAGCGACGTGTGCTCCTCGCAGTTGGCCAGCATCGCCGCGCTCTTCGCGAACATCCCCGTCGCATTGGCCAAATCTGCACAAATTAATCCGGAATAATTAACCCATAATTACTGAAACATGATAACATTAATTACGGCAATAAACTATAACTTGCACTAATTACAGTAGTTTTAAAAATCTGAATTTAATTGAAATAATCTGAATTAAATGTATTAAAAAATACATCAGTATATCCACTAATTCAGATTTATTATCCGACCAATTAAATGCCCGTCTCGCTGACCTCGGCGGTGGTGGTAGAGCGATTCGACGCTGGCGTGCAGCTTCTTCAGCTGCATCTCCATGTTGTCGATCTGCGAGGTCTTTTCTTCGAACCACTGCAAAAACCATCCAAATAAACAGCCAACATCGCCAACGAACGATCAGAAGAGTATACTTCGTCCTTCTCCTCCATCTTGCTGGTGATGCGCGTCACCTGCTCGCCCACCTTCCCGAACAACCGCATCACGCCGGCCCCGCTGAAGGCGCTGGTGTTGCTGGCCTTGGGCAGCGTCTCGTCCATCTCCAGGAACTCCCGCAAGTCGGGGTCCATGCGCAGCACCGGGTGCTGCGCCGTGCGCGCCAGGAAGCGCTCCAGCGCCGCGCGACGCCGCTCCACGAATTCTCCTGTAAGGAAACGGCCACATTATTTTCAAGAATTATTCTTAATACGAAAATAAAATTATAAAATCAAATAAATTCCATTTTTAATCCGAAGAATAATGAATAAATCGGGCAAATTTAAAAGGAATTAATTTTAATAAAATAAACAGTTAATAACAGCGCGTACCGGAAGCGCCGTCGGGCGCGGTGGTGTCGCCCTTGGACATTTTGACCTTGGCCATCCCGGCCACGCTCTTCTCGGGCGCCGGCGGCACGAAGCGGCCGACGTGCACGTGCTTCTCCTGCAGCTTCTCGTGCAGGCCCAGGAAGTCGCTGAAGCGGCGCACCACCGAGAACTTGCGGCGCCGGAAGACGGCCAGGTTCGTCTCCGTGCTGACTTTGTACTGCACGTACGCCTGCAGTCCCTCGTTCACCTTCTGCGGCTCGCTCACCGTCACCGTCACGAACTTGTCGTCCTCCTCCTTTCCCTCGTCCTCCGTAATCTATCAAATTATCACTGATTTTTGACTTCTCTTTTTTTCTAAAGAATTTCTTAGGAAATTTCCCAAAAAAAAACAGAAAATAAATGAGAAAATTTTAAGAAAAATAGTGCAAGGTTTTATAGGGCTCACGCTAAGGCTGTAAGGAAAGGAAGAACTGAAAAAACATTTTACACCCAATCACCAGCGAAAATAAGAAAACAATAATTTCTGTCGTAAATAAGTTACAAACATCACCTGTTCTACACGGCGCACGCTGTTCCACTTATTGAAAATAAATCAATTAAATCTACATGCAAACGAAAAAATACTAAAAATACGTTGCATAACTTACGACACGTTTCGGCGCCGTGAAGGGCTCCTCGCGGTCGCGCTCGGTGGAAGAACTGGAGTCGGAGACGTAGTTGATTTTGGAGATGGTGGTCGACGTCAGCGACGTCTGAGAGGCGTCGTCGCGGTCCGCCTCCTCGCGACTCTGGCTGTCCCGGCCCAGATCGATCTTGGTGAAGTCCGGCGGTGTCATGTCGCTGCCGCCGCCGAAGGGGTTGTTCTTCGCCGCAGCAAACTCATCGCTCGGAGTTGTTTCCTGCAGAGAAACAGACGAGCAAATCACCACGCTCTGCTTTAATCGTTCCTCCACAGTCAACACTGGCGCAAGCAAACATGTCCATGTACTGCCCAATGCACTCTGTTTAACCACAACAGGGAAACGCGCAGGAGAACCCCGTTTACCCACGCATGTTGCTCCTCTTCGCGTTCTCATTGCATTTCGTGCCAGTAAACTGCCAAACGGCCTTCCCTACGCAGATTATACCGAAGAAATCCTTTTAGAAAATAAAAACAAACCTCTAGAGCAGACTGGAACATGTCTTCATCCGGTTCAGGCTTGTTAAAGTCGATGTCCGTAAATGCAGGTGGGCCTTCGCGTCCGTCCGACATTTTACTGGTGTGCTAGTCAACTCGCGAATCGACTTTTTACCTGCTTCAAGATAATAGTATTGCCGCACAAGATGCCAGACTTGGGTGTTTATTCTCACGATTAATTAAAAAGGAAAACCAGATCAAATCTCCAAAACACATTCAGAAAGCTTAAAGCAGAGAGCACAAGCTGTGACAAGCAAAAATGAAAAATCCAAAAGCGAAAAAAGTAAGTATTAATTTATTGATGATTCTCGCCGGGATGGCGCCCTGGGGCGGTTGGGAGCCGTGCGACTCAGGTGCGACGGGAAGTCATCGTAAGCACATAACAACAAGTGCTTATCCCGGCACTCTTTAAACAGCGCGCGTTCGCAAACTATGTTGTTTGTTAATTGGGCAGATACATGAAAATTCACAGAAAACCATCCTCTGCAAACGAGGAAAAAACGCGTGATAAAAATGTTTACAGTATTCTTAAATCAAGCGCCAGTGCTATGACCACGGTATTGCACCACCGCGCATATGACAGCACGCGAACAGAAACAGAGCGCATGCGTAGTTCTCCTGTTGGCGCACAGTAAAATCCCTGTCTGTTAGTGACGTCAAAATGACACACTGCCAGTCTGCAATCGCGGCGAGAATCACGAATTGATAAAATTTAATCAAAAAACTGTACTGTACTAGCTGCCCTGGTATGTACAATAGTAGTACGTACTTCACCATCAGGTGTGCGCTGCCAGCACAAGTACGCCAGCCGTGTCCAATCGCAGCTTCCGCCCATTGTTATCGGGCCCTCCCACACGCGGCACGCTGAAGCGTGCTTCAGCAGCAGCCAGCGCACTTTTCGTTGCGGCGCTTGCGATCAACGACCGCTGCTCACTGCTGGCGCTGCACTCGTCGCCATTGTTTGATTTCACCACCGGGAACGAAGAGCTGTGAAATACGCTGCACTTTCATTCACGCACGGGCACGCACTTTCCAGCCTTGCATAATCCTCTTTCCTGCCTTGCTTGATCTTATTAATTTTGACCTGACTTCCGTCACTTCCCAGACCATGGCTTCAAAGCGAAGTCCCAGCGGTTCTCCCCGGGCATCCCAGTCACCATCTAAGAAAGCCCCTGAGACGCACCCAGAGTTTTATCTGATTGTAGGAATACGTGAGTACCAGTGAAGTTGAGGATTGCTGCAGGTCAACAGCAATAACCAAAATATTTGCTGATTTTTTAAAGGAAATAGCGTTTGCGCATTTTGCAAACTAACGTTCAACGTCACTTCGCTTTTTTTAACCTTTAATTTTGTAGACCAGAAAAATGATTATGTTGTTTTTTTACTTAAAATTTATTGTTAAAATTTTAATGGCTGTGCTGCCTGTGCAGTGTCGTCGCGAACGCAAATTTGTTGATGAGTGAGTTGGTCAGTTGCATGGTCCAGTAAATAACGGATAATTATTATTAAATTTATTGATAAATAAAAATATTTAAGTCGTATGACGTCGTGTGCTTGTTTAGAGAGAGGAACTGCATTTCCTGTTTTCGAGGAGCTGGAGGAGCTGCTGCGCGATTCCACGGCAGTCACGGCGCGGAAGTTTTTGACAGCCGTAACTGCATGGCCCTACTTCAAGTCCTGCGTGGAGAAAGAGAGCTCCATCATCAGTTCCCGCGATGCTGCGTCGCGCATCTACGGCCTCCCAGAATGGCCCTGGCCGAACGCACGCAAGGGCGAAGTGGACGACATCATTGCTATAAAGGGTACCAGCGGACAGCGGGAAGTGTGCCTTAACGTGGTCAGGTAAGTCCCTGATTTTGTTGAATGCAATCGTACTGCGTATGAATCAACAGTTTATTCGTGTGGCCGATAATGTCAGTGCTTGAGAGCACGCCAAGGTCGAAGCATGTCGAGCAGTTGGTTTTCATGCCATTTAACGATTTACGTGGGGAATTCCATCAGGAAAATTTTGGAGAATATTTCGTCTGTCCGCAGACAGGCAGCAGTTGTGTAACCAGTGAAATCTTCCATTTAGGAACCTTCCCTTGTCCGGTTTGACCTGGGATGTGACCGATGATCTCCCGAAGGCAGGCGGCGAGGGCCCGAGCACCAGCGGCCAAAGCGGAGCGGGTGGAGGGGCGCCGCACGCGTCGGGAGCGACTACCTCTGCAGGTGTGCTCTTCAAGTTTCGCCCGTGGCAACCGAAACTGGACGGTATGCAAGTCTGCGAAGAAATGGATTGCATTTTTATTTAAATAAATCATTGCGGTTAATATTGCGATTTATCAGTATCAAAACGTGTTATTAAGGTTGAATATTGTCTTTATTGTGACCATTAATGTTACACTAGTAATTTGCGTAAATTGGTATTAATTTTAATTGTTCAATTGATTACTCCCGACAAGTTGACTTTGACGAAATTATTTTTTAATTATTTGCATTGGTAAATTAATTAGACAATTAGTAAATTTAGTTACATCATCACGTATTAGCGCAGCTCAGTGTAATCATGGCTGCAGTTTACGCGGAATTGTAACTGCTTGGTTGTGTGCGTAGGAAGCGACGTGAGCAAGAAGGACGCCAAGCAGCCCCACCGCATGGCGCCGGATGAGCCCGTGCTGGCGGCCCCGGCGAAGCCGGAGGAGCGCAGGTCCGACTCCCGGCGCGAGGCCAACGCGGCGGCCGACAGCGTGAAGCACGCCGCCGGCGGTGTCGTGCAGCAGAGTGGTCGGAAACGGAAGGCGAGCAGTGACGAAGGCGACAAGAAGCGCCGCGACGGCGGCCAGGCCGCGCGGGCCATCGACGAGCCCCTCCAGGACCGCGCCGCCGCCGCCGAGGTCTCGCAGCGGCAGGATAAGGGGCCGGACGCCGGGCAGCATGGCCGCCGTTCCCACGAGCAGGCTGAAGTGGAATCGGCGCAGTTGGCCAGCGTGAGCGGGCAGAAGGTTGTTGGTAAGCACTAAGCAGATTAGTTTTCTCATTTATTTTCCTTAATTTCGCGTTTGGCTGTCAGGACTGTAACAGGTTAGCCGTTGCATTTTGTTTACGTGATATTTTTTTTCCATTTTGTTTACGTAATATTCGTAATATTGTCGTGAATTTGCATTTCTTTTCTAAAGTCCGTGTACAGTATATTCATAAACTGCAAAGTGATCGTTGCCGTTGAATATCCATGAGCTGATTGATTTTCAAGATTTGCACCTTTTGACTTTGTTGTTTAAAGCCAGCTTTAACGAGATTAGTTAGTATGCACTTGGCTTGTAAGTTGTAACGACCGACCGATTTCCGCCGCTGGTAAATTAACTGTGAAAAAATTCGTTAATACATAAATTGTTAGGTCGTTAATAAACTGCGAAATACCGTAATTACTCGTTAATTGCGAAATAATTACTCGTTAATAATCTGCGAAATAATTACTCATGAATGAATTGCGAACTCATTAGTCGTTAATAAATTGCAATAAATCCGCGTTAATTAATTGCGAAATAATTACTCGTTAATTAACTGCGAAATAATTACTCGTTAAATTACTGCGAAATAATTACTCGTTAATAAGCTGCCAAATAATTACTCGTTAATTAATAGCGGAATAATTACTCGTTAATTATTTGCGAAATAATTACTCGTTAATCAATTGCAATAATTACGCGTTAATTAATTGCGAAATAATTACGCGTTAATTAACTGCGAATAATTACTCGTTAAATTACTGCGAAATAATTACTCGTTGATAATCTGCGAAATAATTACTCGTTAATTAATTGCGAAATAATTACTCGTTAATTAACTGCGAAATAATTACTCGTTAATTTATTGCGAAAAATTACTCGTTAATAACTTGCGAAATAATTACTCGTTAATAAGTTGGGAAATAATTACTCGTTAATCAATTGCGAAATAATTATTCGTTAATAAATTGGGAAATAATTACTCGTTAAATTACTGCGAAATAATTACTCGTTAATAAGCTGCCAAATAATTACTCGTTAATTCATGGCGAAATAATTACTCGTTAATCAATTGCAATAATTACGCGTTAATTAATTGCGAAATAATTACGCGTTAATTAACTGCGAATAATTACTCGTTAAATTACTGCGAAATAATTACTCGTTGATAATCTGCGAAATAATTACTCGTTAATTAATTGCGAAATAATTACTCGTTAATTAACTGCGAAATAATTACTCGTTAATTTATTGCGAAAAATTACTCGTTAATAACTTGCGAAATAATTACTCGTTAATAAGTTGGGAAATAATTACTCGTTAATCAATTGCGAAATAATTATTCGTTAATAAATTGGGAAATAATTACTCGTTAAATTACTGCGAAATAATTACTCGTTAATAAGCTGCCAAATAATTACTCGTTAATTCATAGCGAAATAATTACTCGTTAATTAATTGCGAACTCATTAGTCGTTAATAAATTGGAAATAATTACTCGTTAATAAATTGCAATAATTACTCGTTAATCAATTGCGAAATAAATACTCGTTAATTAACTGGGAAATAATTACTCGTTAATTGGTGGGAAATCATTACTCGTTAATAAATTGGGAAATAATTACTCGTTAATGAATTGCAATAATTACTCGTTAATCAACTGCGAAATAAATACTCGTTAATTAACTGGGAAATAATTACTCGTTAATTAATTGGGAAATCATTACTCGTTAATAAATTGGGAAATAATTACTCGTTAATGAATTGCAATAATTACTCGTTAATCAACTGCGAAATAAATACTCGTTAATTAACTGGGAAATAATTACTCGTTAATTAATTGTTGGGAAATCATTACTCGTTAATAAATTGGGAAATAATTACTCGTTAATTATTTGCGAAATAATTACTCGTTAATCAATTGCAATAATTACGCGTTAATTAACTGCGAAATAATTACTCGTTAATTAACTGCGAATAATTACTCGCATTAGCGCAGCGCCATGTAATCATGACTGCAGTTTAGGCGGAATTGTAATTGTTCGGTTTCCGTGCGTAGCCAGCGACGAGGACGCCAAGGGCACGGGCCAGGAGACGCCGGACGAGCATGTGCAGGCGGCCGACGAGAAGAAGGAAGCGCTGAAGCCCGACGCCCGGCACGAGCCCGAGGAAGCGGCCGACACCCTGGAGCATGCCGCCGGCGACGTCCTGCAGCAACCGGCCGGTGAGAAAGGGAGCGACGAGAAGCGCCGGGAAGAAGTGGACGAGTCCGGCCAGGAGCGGGCCACCGGCGCCAGCGCCAGCGCTACCGGCGTGGACCAGGCGCAGCATGCGATGGAGGCGTGTCGTCGTACGCTGGTGGCGGTGCGGGATGAGGCTGGGACGGCGCTGTCGGACGCTGGGCCGTCGCAGGCTGCCCCCGTCCGTGCGTTCGCGGCGCGCGTGGGCGTCCTCTTCGTCTCGTTGGCGGACATCTCCTCCCTGGCGCTCGCGTCCTCCATCGAGGCGTCCGACGTCCAGGAGGGCCTGCTGGAGTTGGCCGCCAAGCTGGAGAAGGGCGGGGCCTCGTCCACCGGCGGCGGGGGCTCTGTTGAGGACCGCGAGCAAGAGCCGCATGGCAGCAAGTGAGCGCTGAGTGACGCTGACCCAGCGGATGGTACTCTTTTCGTCTTTATCATTCGCCGGCTCATTTGATCGCGTTTTATAATCGTACACTTTTCCGCCTTGAGCGAGTAATTTCTTTACAGTCTTTGAATCAAATGTTTCGGTAATCGGTACGCTTTTTTTGGAGATGTTGTTTGCGTGTAACCGCTAAATTGGGTTGTACTGCGCGAACGCTTCTGTATGGTGTTGTGCGGTATTTTTGGACGACTTTTTCTTTGTACGGCTAACGGGGATCTCTTTTTTTGTGAACAGCAGTGTTTTGTATTGTGGCCAACGTTGGGCTTTCAGGGACAAATTTTTTTTTTTGATAAATGAGGATCGGTATCTGTAGTTACGGCTAGCAAGTGTGCCAGATTTAATGTAGCACAATTCCCATATCTATTGCCATATTCTACTGTATATATGCCCCTTACTATATGCGCCGACTGCTTTTCGGCTGCGGAAAATGTGTGTGCCAAAAGTCCTGCGTACTGGGCAACCCCTGCAGGTTCGGTATTTTCGAAAGCCTTCAGATTCATTCGATCTGTTCAACCTATAGCTCAAAAAATGCAGAAAAAAGTTTTATTATGAAAAATAAAATGTTTGCAGGTAAAAAGTTTCCGGAGAAGCGAGATATCAACGTCTTATATAAATTGCAGTTAGCATACAAGTCTATGGCAAACTGCCCCGTAGAGGAGTATGTTAAACGCAAAAAGCGTTAATCGTTGATATCTCGCTTGTCCAAAAACTTTTTACTTGCAAACTTTCTATTTTTCTTATTAAATTTTTTTCCTGCATTTTTTAAGCTATAGCCTCAACAGATTGGTCGTAACTGAAGGCTTTCTAGAATCTAGAGGGCAGTATTATTACATTAAAAAATTTTCTGTAAAATTGCAAGCAGTTAAGCGACAGCAAGATTTTTGAATCTGGCGCAGCACCCGTGGGTGGCATGCGATAGCGACAACTTCGGCACGCAAACCGAGCGCGCACCTGCTTCGCACATCGATTTTAAAATGCTAAAAAGCTGTCGGGGCATAGGTAAGGGGCATATATTCATTCTATATTTTCTATTCCCATATCTATCATGTCAGGCATCACACACAGGCACTCAACTCAAGTGGAAATTCAACGAGGCGACGCCGTCTGTGTACTCGGAACAATGGAAAAAGCGGCAGCGTTAAATGAAATTGTGTTGCTGTGATTATTGTTCTTGCTATGTTATGTACTGTCCCTGTATTCCACGCATTAAAACTACACCGCTGTATGGTGCACTTAAGGAAAATGCCCCGGTACATAGTCTCAAGAATGGGATACATACACTAAAACTTTCGCTTTCGCGCACTTCGAATCACATTTTTGTAATACTTTATGTCATTCTAAAGCTAAACGGTCTGTGTGCATTGTTCTGAAAACCGTTTGCGCGCGCAACATCCGGTTGCCGAGATATAGCGAAACAAAATGGGTGAAAAGTTGAAATGCATTGTTGTGCAGCGAAAGTCTGGTTATTACCCGATCTTTTTGAAACCTCGCTATAAAAGACATATCTGTATGGCCATAACATGAATTTCAAAAATTTTAAAATTCATTTAAAAATTATGGGTAAGTGCTATGAACCGGAAATCGGTTCACTTTCGACTTTTATAGTATAGTTTCAAGAAGATCGGGTAATAACCAGACTTTAAAAACCACGAAGCACCAGAACATCACCCAGTACTTCTTGTTCCGAGCGGTGTGTGGGGAGACAGTGGGACCACTCGGACCGGAAGCCTCCAGGCTGCTCAGCGAAGTGGGCAGGATGATATGGCAGGCGCTTGCACTTTTCATCATTTTGATGGCGATCGCCTATTGAAATATTTCTTTAAATCTTGAGTATCTAGAAGTCTGCTGACTACTCGTATGGTCGTTCAAGTGAAACACTATGATAAGTGAATAAGCGATGGTCGTTCAATGAAACACCCGAAATATTAAATTCTAAACCGATTTTCTTCCAGTTTTTCTTTTATCCACTGAGGATTTACTTTACAGAGTACGAAATTTTAAAAGCTGCACCGTTTTTTGCAATTGCGTCAAAGAAATCAGTGACGAAAGCGCTTTAGCCACGCCATGAGCCACTGCACTAACTTATATAATTGAGTCACCGCCGCATTATGGCGGCTGTTATCGCCGTGTTAGAAGTTGATTTAGAGGGGAGCTCGAATTCAGTTTAAAGACATCAACTTTGAAGAAATGAGGAAAAAACTTAAATTAAACAGAAACCAAGCTTACTAAATTAACTTCTAACACGGCGATGGCACAGCCGCCCATGTACGGCGGCGATTCCAATTATGTGAGCTTAGTGCAGTGGCTCATGTGTCATGGCTAAAGCGCTTTCGTCACTGATTTCTTTACGACGCAATTGCAAGAAAACGGTTCAAGCTTTTTTAAAAATTTTAAGTACTCTGTAAAGGGTAAATCCTCCTTAATTGGATAAAGAAAAAAACCGGAAGAAAATCGGTTTGGGGAATTTAATATTTCGGGTGTTTCATTGAACGACCATCGCTTATTCACTTATCATAGTGTTTCACTTGAACGACCATACGAGTAGATCACTGCTCTATCCCGTGAAGACAATATTATGCACTTTAACCATGTAATACGCTCTTGACGTTGTTAACGAAAATGGCCCGGTACATACAGGTAATGTCAAAAAATATGGTATATCTGTACAGATACATACACCAAAACTTTCGCTTTCGCGCACTCCTAATCACTTTTTTTGTGTATTTCGTTATATCTCGGCAACCGGATGTTTCTCGCGCAAACGGTTTTCAGAACAATGTACTGTATACAAACCATTTAGATTTAAAATGACATAAAGTATAAATGGGTGAAAAGTTTAAATGCATTGTTGTGTGCCAAAAGTCGGGTTTAAACATCCAAAACACACCCAGACGTCACACAGCATCAAAAGACAGCGGGAACATGCGGCCGAACCACATAGAACATTTGATCAAAATTAGCCGAGGCTGGTGTCGTTCCCAGGATGGATGCAGCATTTCCACGTTGAATTTCGATGCTGGACCTCTGGCGCCGATACTCCGTTGCACGTATCTCACCCGTTTAGGGACACTACTTGCCGGGGCCCGGTCACCGGATGCAGATCGAAACGAAAATTTTCATTTTTTTGTTTATACACAGATCTGGTATGACGTACGTACTGGGAATAATAAAAAGTTAATTTCAATGGTCCAGTGGGCGTAGTAGAAACCAATTTAAGTATTTAATACAAGCCATACTAGCCATACTGTATGGATATCGGACAGACGTACTGATAAGTATTGTTAGTGTAATGTACTGTACATATTCGGGTAATATTCCCATACTTCTGGTCATACTGGTGAAAAATTAATATGCTACGAGGCACGGCTGCTGTTTCACAGTACCTGTTATCAGTGCCGACTTGCTCCTTGATTATTTTCAATTTTTAATGGCTGCTTTTACATTATAAAAATAAAATTGTCAGAAAATTTCCCCGATACTGGGTTTGATTGGATTGCATTTGTTTCTGTATCCTTCTGTGTGCTGTACCACGCAGGCACTGCTTTTTCAGAGGTTATTGTGTACTCGGACTTCATGAAGAAGTCAAAATAGGAGCGTTCCCCAGTACAATAAAAAGCACCAAAAACATTTTGACTGGATTACGTGCTACTTCAAGTGCTGTACTTCCATTAACAGCATTGTAGCGATAGACATTAGAATGTACCGCCAGTAGGAGTGTCAATTGCTTTTCTCTGCTGTTTATTGGCTGTTGTGTTATGAAGATATGAATCCTTATTTTCCTACATTTTAACGACCGCTTCTCACGGTCAGAAACATCCTGGAATTAGTCTTGCTGCAGTTTGCTCCGAATCTTACTCCGCGCTTCTTGCCCCACGCTTATGCGTTCTTGCTCCTCAGCTTGCGTTGCTCGCTCAGTCTTGCTACGTGTACTTGCTAATAAACGCCTGCGATGACCTTGTGTTGTGTTGCTTAACCGCAATGGGATGATCGTGCATCTCCTATCATCGTCACCCTGTAAACGGTAGTCAGCTTCCGGTCAGCATCGCTGCCGACCGTGCCAACCTTTCCCCCGCTAACAGCCGACAGATCGTGATAAGGTGGATTAACCAACCCACCAGAACAGCCGTCGAACCGGCTGCTGTTACAATATATACCGCAAGAAGATCCTTCTGGCCACGTTACTGGACCGGTGCCGGTGAGATTACTTTTTTTATTATTACCAATAACAAATCTGTCTTTAAACAACAAACTTTTCTGAGGAGGGAGCCGGTGACAGCGCCCTGGTTAGTTAAATCACCTGTAGGAATTCAAAACCAACCAACTAAACTAGAAAAAAGAACAGCAGGCGGAGATATTTAGAGCGCCCTTCTCCGCTCAGGTCACAGAATGATATTATTTTGGCCCATGAAGTGCAACAGTTCGCTTAAGGCCGGGCCGAAACACCCAACGCTTCACCAAGACAAGGGCAAAAATAAAAAGTAAGTCTTTCTTCTCTGGGTATTCAAGCAGCTAGGCGTTGGTCATTTAGCAGATGTTGACGGCGCCAGACGCAAAATTCTGGTGCTGAGCCATTTGCTCATAAAACGGCAACAGTATGACCATGTGCAGCGTTGGCATGACTGCTGATCTGGCTGGATCGAGGATACTGCTCGTACGATTTGAACTGTTCATCCCCATTCCCCGGTACAATAATATTTGGAAATCCTCGATGCTGCTAATAGGTATTTTTATCCTGGCGCTAATAAACACGGGATGCTCCTGGATCCTTCCCAAGAATCCCAACGACCCAACGAGATGAGAATTCAGATCAGTGTGGGGATGAATGTAATCACAACGGGGAAGTTTGCTTTCACACGCGGAACAGCTCGTTGATCCCGTAGATGGCCACTCTGCTCCAGGCGGATATATCCACACAGCGCAGATCGACCTCGTCCCAGCATTTCGGTCTTCCGTCCGAGTGAAACCCACTGAACCTGCACAGACAGTAACAGTACTTGTAAGCGTTAGAATCACGCTCCGCTAAATCATACGGAGCGTTGACTCCATCACTTCCTGGCGATGAAATCAACGGGCGTTCGAAACGAACAGACCGAGGAGACTATGTGTACTTGTACGGCCAAATGGGATCCGCTACTAGATATTGTATAAAAGTCTATATCCAATTATGACTTACAGTAGAAGGTAGCAGCGAATGCTCTCCCAGTCGGCGGGGTAGTCGAGGGTGCGCTGCCAGCGCGCGTGGACGGCCGTGACCTTTGCCAGCATCTCCGGCGTGACCGGCGGGAAGTGCTCGTTGACGGCGCACATGAAGCGACTGGTCGTGTGCATTTTGTCGTCGCTGCAGGGCAGCAGCAGCTTGGGAATGGTGATTTGTAGTTCGTCTACGGCCAGTTCCGGCGAGACTGGCCACTGGGAGAGACGTCGCGTCCACTGGCGTTCTTGCTCTGGCAGAGGACGCCCGGGCACATCGTCATAACTGCGACCTAACTCAAAGACGTCGTACATGTGCCTACCGAACAGATTGCGCACTTGCCAGTTGTCCAGCAAGATGAAGTCGCAAGTGCCCTTGTAGTACAGTATCTTATCTGCTGGCTTAAAATGCGCCTGGTGGAAGGGTGTCACTGACAGTACATCTCGTTGCATGTCCACGTAGTCTTTGAGCACAAGTACAGGCAAACTGATCTCCAGGGCACTGAGTATCGCTTGCAGAAATGCAGGGAAGCCGGGAATGACTGCTGGCGCGAGGGCTCTTAACAGGGTGAGCGTGACGGTCGCCGAGCTGAGGGAGCGGGTGAGGAGGGAGGCCGCGCGGAAGCAGCTGTCGGAGTCGACTTGCAGATGCCAGCAGCTCTCGAAGGAGATGCTGACGTGCTCCTGCATCCGGGGATGGCCCAGCAGCAACTGCCATAAGCCACACACCCTAACAAGACACATTCCTTGTTCATCATTCACAACCACAACTATTCCGTAGACAGTAATTGTCCGATCGAACATTTGCAAAGCTGCTCGCTGGTACAAGCCTGTCGTATTTCTTGCCTAACAAGTATCTGTCGGAACGGGGAATCTGTCGTTGCGCTACCTGATAGTGTAATGCATATATATGGTGGTCGTTTCACTAGCGCTCACTGACATTCTGAGAGCTTAAAAAACTACACCTTCACACAAGAAATTAAGCGGCAGGCTTATACAGTACTGACATGCTATGCGGAAGTCGCACCGCGACAACCGCACTAGATGACCAAACCTACTCAATCGGTAGAGTGGGAATATGCTCTGGACTCCGTAAGTGGTACTACTGCCTACTTCCGCTAGGTACGAGCGGATTGCTGTGCCTAACGAAAGTTACCGAAACCCAAACACTCAGGAACTTCCCAAATGTTTAATCACCAAACTGAACGAACGAACAAACAGAACAGAACAGAACGAGATATGAACTTCCTTCTAACCTAGAGTCACACGACCTTTCAGCTAGAAACAAGCTCACAGATTTAGTTGAAGTCAGAAACTTCAGACTGATTCGTTAAACCAGAATCATGGATGGAATTAGCGATGAAATGCGTTAGATAAGAACAGCAAGTCATACGTAACGGAACAGACAACACGTACGTCATAACACGTACGTAATACGCGCAACTACGCATAGCGCGTTACCCCCACTGCTACAGAATTAACGTCCGCGTTAATCAAAGCAAACAAACAAACAAAAACCAAAATCAAAGAAAACTTGAAATCCAGGAAAGTACCGTAATCCTGGAGGATCCTTTTCATCATTCGCGTGTGGAATCCGGGTGTAACGGGGGTTCCAATGGAGGTCCAGGTTGATGAAGTTGGTGTTCCGTCCAAGTCCTCCGAGGTTCCTGGTTCCACGCGCGTCCGTTATCATCCATCCATCCAAACGTTTCGTATCCAGGTGAGGTTTTCTTCCATCCTCTCCCTCCGAAGAGCTCGAAGATCCGCAGTCCAACAGACCAAACAACCAGAAATTACCAGCTTTCTGATAAACACTGGTCAAAGCCAATCAATCAGAAAAAACCGTTCAGAACGGATAAATACCGTTCATTTATCAGCATCTTCAAGACATCAAAAAGTGGATACTTAGTTTCCACTAATTAGTACTGATAATTACCCCCACTGCAAGTTTGCACATGCAGTCAAACAATCAAACACAGTCAACCACAACCAGATCAGAAGAACCGAACGACGTGGTTCTTGCCCATGATCAAATAAACACAATCTTTATCATCCAAATTACTTTCGGATGATCGACTCAAATCCCAACTGTGAACTTCTTATCAAACAGCAAGTCAAACAGTAACTGTACTGCTGACAACTGCAGAATCAAAATGATTTTAAAATCATTTTTACAGATTTCAAACACTGCACCGTAGCACAGCGTTTTAAACATGTAGCTGCCACACCAGCGGCTACGGACAAAACATTAAGTACTTTTAAAATTCAGTACTTAATTTCTCCAAACAACAAATTTCTATATCTTTCTGATAGTTGGGCAATCAGCATCCCCTTTTCGCTGATTAATCCTGCGGTTATGAGTAAAAGCAAGTTACACTGTCAGTACAATACTGACAATAAAACAGCGGACTCACAACGTAGCAGTCGAAACTTAAACATGAGCACTACATTGCTCACATCCCGCTTCCATTTTCCACAATTCAGCATTCATCCCAGGCCAGTAATAATTCCGCAAAACATACTTACGGACTGACCAGTAATCATGCAAATTACCAGCATGATAACTCTCATGGCAGTCTCGTAACAAGTCCTGGCGGCTAACTTCCGGTACGACTACACGGTGTCTACCGTACCTACCGCCCTTGCTACGGTACACAATGCCACGATAAACATGAAAACCTTTCACGTTCTCTTTCTCATCCTGACTCATCTCCGCCTCGGGATTTTCGATCAGGAACTTCAAGCGCTTTAAGTAAGCACTGTTGCTCTGCTTCCGACGCCAACCCACACGAGCCTGAGCACCCCCACTGCGAAGCGAGTGCCTCGTCGGACAGCGTGCCGAGCTGAACTGTGACTGGGCGGCTCCGCCCCCACTGCGAGTTTCATCTCCTTCCGCAACTTGTGCACTTTTAACCTGCACATTGAAAGAATTAACTTCCGGCCTGCGCATTAGAAACGATCCCAAGCTATTACTTTCGGGATTCTTTCCCATCGACTTCTTCATCATGTATGCTTTAATCACCTGATCCGGTGGTTCCGCTGTAATCGGCTTACGCGGTTCCGAACTGGTGCACTTCTTTCCCACATGCGCACCGTGACATTTAAAACATATCGGCTGTCCATCTGGAAAATACCGTTTAGCGTAATTAATGGTAATTTGCTTACCATTATCACCAACACTCCCATCGGTCTTTTTCGTCTCATCACCAGCAGCTTTAACTGAACTGCTATCTGCATCAGCTGGCTTCCTGCCACTGAACTGCTTCGAATCAGAGTAACCAGGACCAGGGTTACTATTCCGCAGTTTATACTGCAGCTTCAATTCTGACAAAAATTCTTCAACATCCGCCACTCTTTTCTCCTCCATGTACTTGAACCAAAAGAAACGGTTCTTCTTTAAACCCTGCTTCAGATAATACACACGTTCAGATTCATTCAAATCTAACTTTTTGAACGACGTAGTGAACCAATCCACATACGAGTTCGGTGTATCGTAACTAGTAAAATGACGATCAGCAATCTTATCACGAACTGCCATTAAATCTTTCTCATCCGAGAAATGTTCCCGGAGCAACTTCTTCCATTCAGACCACTTCAACTTCTTATTAGAATCGTACTTATCCAAGTACCAGGTAAGCGCCGTACCAGTAAGGCAGCGCGACAGGCACTTACTGATGACGTCACCATCAGACCAACTGTTGTGGTTTTTACAATTATCCACACTCTGGATAAACTGCTCAACCTTATTCGTGTCTGTCTTCCCATCAAACTTTTCAGGATACATTGTATCAGTCCTGAATGCACCTTTCATTGCATCAGTAAACTTATCCATATCAAACGGAGCGGAAACAGTACTACCGCCCTTGGCTTCCTGTTCCTTTAAACGACGATCAAGTTCAGCAACCGTGGCTTCCATCTTGGCCAAAGCAATTGTGCTAACTTCTGAAATCGTTGGTGAAGGACTACGCGACTCACCCAAACATTCCTGCATGTTATGCGCACGCTCACGTAAATCCAGAAAATTTTCCAGCTTCTGGGTATCTTTGACTACAAAGACAGGCTTATGAACAGCACTGTACAGCTTTCGTACAGGTTCAGCCATATCCTGTACTACTACGCTGCGTCGACCTGCTTCAACATGCGGAACAAAGATAACGTCATCATTTACTGCATGACGTCCATTATTCTTATCAATTTTCCACTTATCAACAGCAACTTTAAATGCTGTTTGTTCAGCCAGAAAACTTGCATACTTTTTATTCAAGGCGGCCGTGCCTTCTTGAAAGCTTTTCTGCGCTTTCTCCTTCTCTAACTGGAACTTCTGCCTTTCCAGTTGCAACTTCTCACTTTCACTGTTAACATGCTCGAACGCGTCCTGCATCAGCTTTGCATCTCTCGTCCGCATGATAGTAAGCAACTTTAGGTCATCCGTCAACTTTTTTTGATGATCAACACTATCATCGTATTTTTCGACCAAATCGTTATACTTTCCGATTACTTCATCATGCTTCAAAGCGAGCGCATGGTATCGCACCTTTTCCGCATCCAGTTCTTTATGTAACTGATCAACCACAGCAGCGGTTGATGACTCATCGCTTTCCTTGCCAACTTTCTGACTGTAGTGAGCATCAGCGTTTCCATCACGCTGATCAACAGCTGCCAGTTCCGCATCGCTATCATCATCATCTCCAGTAACAACAGCTGAATAATCTGGAGCATTATTAATCTGCTCCAATACCTTATTCATTTCTGTCAGGTCCAAGTGCTTAGTTACCACGGTATCTTTCGCAGTACCACTCAAACCACTGGCAGACAGTGCATTGCCCTCACTGAGTACAACCTGCACTCCGCCGCTTTGCTGCACATTCGACCCTGGACGAGCTTTACCGCTATCTGCTGCAGACTGATCAGGCTTTTGTTGGCAAGATACTGCATCCATTTGCCATGCAGTTCAGTGCCATACTGCTGATCGTAATCGTGCAAGGTCAGGTGGATCGTTCGACGGGCGGGAATCTTCCTTCCTGCCTGAATCCACTGATCATAACCTCCAGGTTTTTTACCACCATTAAGGTCATATTCAACCCATTCCTGACTTAATTCTCCAGTACGTGGGAGAACAATTTCCCACTTCTTGCAGAAATCGCCAACCTTTTCGTCTTCGGGTAGAAACCACTGCACTGTAGGCGGGCTTAAATAATCCGCCTTCACCAGCATGGCTTCAAACTCTTCAACATTAATCATCCCTTTTCGACGGGACGGTTTACTTTTTCCCGTTGATGGCTCTTCCGGACCATCCTCATGTCCAGCGGTTAATGCTGATGGTTCAATCACTGTACCATCCATTGCACCTGCTTGACAAACAACAGACAAGTAATCCAGGTCACCGAACCCGGATGTAAGTCTGCACAAATAACACGGCTTACGCCACCACTTCTTAGTACACACCGTACTAATTACCAGTACAAGTACAGGCGGACTCCCGTCCAGCACCTGGCTCGCACTTAGGAACCGTGCCTCGCGTAACCCTCTGAGGTCACTGCGGTACACACTGCGGTCTAGCACCTGGTTCTCACTTAGGAACCTTGCCTCACGGGATTCTCTGAGAATCCACGCGGTCAACCAACACCACACAAAACGCCAAAACCAAATACCACTTACCAGACGATCCAGATTCCCAGGGGTTGTTAAAATCCGTTGGGCGCCATGACATGCTATGCGGAAGTCGCACCGCGACAACCGCACTAGATGACCAAACCTACTCAATCGGTAGAGTGGGAATATGCTCTGGACTCCGTAAGTGGTACTACTGCCTACTTCCGCTAGGTACGAGCGGATTGCTGTGCCTAACGAAAGTTACCGAAACCCAAACACTCAGGAACTTCCCAAATGTTTAATCACCAAACTGAACGAACGAACAAACAGAACAGAACAGAACGAGATATGAACTTCCTTCTAACCTAGAGTCACACGACCTTTCAGCTAGAAACAAGCTCACAGATTTAGTTGAAGTCAGAAACTTCAGACCGATTCGTTAAACCAGAATCATGGATGGAATTAGCGATGAAATGCGTTAGATAAGAACAGCAAGTCATACGTAACGGAACAGACAACACGTTACGTCATAACACGTACGTAATACGCGCAACTACGCATAGCGCGTTAGTACTGTACTCGTTGCGAATTGGTTTGCCTTGTGAAAACCATTCAATCTCGGTGCCTACGTAGCCAGTACGGAGTGCAGTAATAAGCCCTAACAATTGTAAGCTAAGCCCAAAAAACCGAATTCTGTAGAATATACTGTACATAATTAAATGTTCTCTTGTTATTTATTTTGTCCTCTTGGCACATAACCAGCATGACGCAAATCACGCAATAGTTCTGGCGGTAAAATACAGTAACCTTCGCGTTCACAGTGTCAGTCTGATGGTGATTTTTACGGAGTTCGACGTGTACTCGGTGTAAACCTGTCAAACCGTCGTACGCGTTCAACGTGTGCTTCCAGAATAGCGCTGGTGAAAACTGACGGCAGTGACCCGCTACCGTCACTGCCTTTGGAAAACAGTAAGTACTGTACTGTACGCGATCACAGAGAAATCCCCATTCCGGCATTCCCCACCGTACCGTTTGGCTCTCATCTGTGAGTGCAGGTCCAAATGGGACAAGATGTCGCTCAGCAGCCAGGGCGTCAAATCACTCAGCATCGCCGCATCAATGTCCACATCTAAGCAAGGAACACATTAATTTCCACAATCATGCAGTAAAGTAACTACTACAACAAAGTACAACTTCACGGTTTAACTGGCTACAGTGGCGGGTGCATCTTCTCGAGACAACCTTCTAAACTGTGATCATAACTTGCGGCAAAAATCCGCAGGACTGACTGCCAGCAAAGGATGCCAGTAAAAAGAGCTGCGGCGTGCATTTTCTCGGGAAGCAGCTTTAGCGGTTGTGGATGATACGAGGTGGCTGCAGTGGTCATGTTGTTATAGATTCCCTTATAATAAAGTGGACCGCTAGCCGTTGAATTTTTATTTTGGTCGCTTTCCATAATTTATAATTTGATTTGCCAAGTTTTCTTTCTATGCCCTTGTAGAGAATTCTCTTATCTTTATGAGGATGTATTGCAACAAACAGTAAGTAAGACTTGCTTTAAGTTGACTTGCTTTAACCAAGAGCGGGTAAACGCTCATCGAGTGTATTGTGTGTAACGGGTACAACTGCTGGCCGAGATAACTTGCTGCGGGGGAAATGTAAGTAACACGCCGCTCAATGCTCACCGGTTTCCACAGCCACGGCCACGGGCACACTGTCCATGCAGCTGGTGTGGAGCGCTGCAGCGGGTGCATGTAGCGGCGGAAGCAGGGCGCGGCTGGCCAGATGCGTCTCCAAGACTGCGGGCAGGCTGGCGGCCATCCAGCGTGCCGATCTCGATTGCGCGTCCTTGTCCTTGGCCAGTCCGACGACGATGATGGTGCAGCCCTCGTCTGCGATGCGCAAATGAAACCGGCAGCAGTCGTCCAGAGGTTCATCCTCGACCAGACTGTACTGGCCAGGCAGAGCGTCACGCAGATGCTTGATGATGCGAAACTTATCGGAAGGTTCGCTGAGCAGGGCGCGGGCGCGGGCGCGCGCAAAGGGAATCCAGTGCTTGGTGTACAGCACACCGCTGACGCTGGCCCGCTCCGGCTCCGGCGAGGATGGAGCGCTGGCGCTGGGGGGCAATGCACTGGCCAGCTGGTTGGGATGGACCACCTCCACACAGGGACGAGCGCCGCTGCCGCTGCCGCTGCCGCTGCTGGACACGTCGGTTCGGATGCAAAACAGATGACACCCAAAGTCACAAGCCCATTTGCAAGCCTGGAACGACTCCAGCATAACGGCTGGTCGGAAGCGAAACGGCCCATTCTCGTCATCGCGCAGTGCCGCCAGTATGGGCGCATTTCGGCCAAATCTCCCCTGCAGCTCGTCGTAGTACGTCGGCAGTGGCCAGACGTCCTGCATGGGCAGCCAGCGAGCGGGGGCGGTTGTGGCGTTGAAGTGGATGAAGGCGCGCCCGCATTCGCCGTCCGTGTCGATATCCTGAATGTAGCCCAGCCACCAAATGTCGCCATCGATATCGTTAACGTTGGCGTCACGGCGGCGGATGCGGGCGGCGACCGTGTTGCAGTAGCTCATTTGACTGCCATCGGCCAATAACGGCTGATACAGATACCGCGGCCGCGGCAGCAGCACCGCATCCTCCAGCCTGTCCGCAAGGGCCTGCAGAACAAGTGCAGCGTTGTCACTATCCACCACACGATAGAATTACGATTTACGAAGCCATCTCCCTTCAGTTTTTCAACTTGTTGAAAGAAATGCATGTGTACAATTCAAAATTGAAGGGCTGTGTCATACCTACAAGCTTCAAGCATCGTAAGGTCTCCAGTTCCAACCACTTAATTAAATTTTTATGGCCAGTTTAATTAGAGTTAACTTCCGGTTCACATGTGATAAACTGATACGACACGCATTCCTGAAGTTGTTCTGAGATGTACGTACGAATCTGAGATAAAAACGTGTGCAGACTTCACACTAGACTTTCTGAGCCAAAGTGCCTGACATTCTGACAATAAGGCATAAACTAAGTAATACTGTACAATATTTCTGGTCTTATACGCTAAAATTCTGTATTAGTACTGTATTATTGGTATCTCCATATCTGTATCGAAACCATTGCTAGAGCCTAGAGGGTAGTGTGTTTATATTGTAAGACTAAGAGTCTAAGACCATGTGTTCAGTTTTTAATGCTCGTAAAGAACAACTTCAAAACCAAGGTAAATCCTCAACTGAAGAAATTCCGATGCCAAGCAGCCCAAGCGAATAACTTACCGCACCGGCGACACAGGAATTTGTACTTTCTTCCATGGTAAAAAGGGATCAAATCAAAGGCCGAGAGCCGAAGATGTAGATACAGAATATTAATTACGCAGATCCATTCGATATTCGCTCGTTTCTAACAATAATTGCAAGTGACAGTCTCAGATGCTCAGACTGATGTTGTAAAATTATGTTGCACCACGTTGTAATTCTAACAAATACGTTGATTCTCTGTAAAATTACGTTGTACCACAGGCATATGCCAAAATATAAATATAAATAAACAGGTTCATTTGATTATAATTGTTGAGCGAAGCTCGCTTTGTACATATTGAGAAATAAAATCAAGGAAAAAACAGGTAAAAATATAATAATGTTCAACAGTTCAAGGTTCATCACGACGATCACACGCTTATTTATTTCTTTGATTATTTATTTATTAACACGCACATGTGCTCTCCCTGCCTAGTATCTAGCGAAGGTAGCGCTTCGTACGCTTGCTCACCCGCACGAGGTGGCTGTGTGCAGATACGCGTGACGGAATAGCTAATAAGCCAGCGTGTTAAGGAAAATGGCCGGGTACATACTACATAGCGTCAAAAAAGGGATACATACACTGTCTAAAACTGTAGTTACGAGTGTAGTATTCGCGCACTCCGAATCACTTTTTTCTAATACTTTATGTCATTCTAAAGCTAAATGATTTGTATACATGGTTTTGAAAACCGTTGGCGCGCGCAACATCCGGTTGCCGATATATGGCGTACTAAAATGGGCGAAAATGCATTGTTGGGTACCAAATGTCTGATTATTAGTTATAAGTTATTGCCCGATCTTTTTGAAACTTTGCTGTAAAAGGCACATGACTCGAACCAATATCAAATCCGTAGCAGTTTTTCCCGCTTTTAGAATGAATTTCGAAAATTTTAATATTCATTGTACAGTTATGGTAAAGTCACAGCCCAATAATCTACTGTAACTGGGCTGTGGTAAAGTGATATGAACCCGTATCTCGGCAACCGGATGTTGCGCGCGCAAACGGTTTTCAGAACAAAGTACACGAATCATTAAGCTTTACCGTAGAATGACATAACCTATTAGAAAAAAGGTTTTCGGAGGGCGCGAAAGCGAAAGTTTTAGTGCATGAATCCCATTTTTGACACCATATACCGGGCCATTTCCCTTAGTATTGCAACAGCTGGTTCGTGTTTGTGTTTGATTCCGTTCTTCCAAATTGAGTCATCGACAGCACTTCTCAGCCATCACTGCTGCAAATACTACCCTCTCACCCGTTCAACACTGTGTCGTCCACAATCGGCCCTTGGTTCTAATTTCTCGCAGGAAAACAGGATGTGATAATCCGGCGCTTCTAACAATAACTTCTGTGCTTGGCATCCCTGAAATTCAATGTGCTTTACAAATATCAAATCGCTGCTGCAGGATGAATGATATGATCTGCATAATCGTGTTGTTCCGCGCGGGCATTAGTCAGCAGAGAATTATTCTTTTACTTGTACAGTACCTGCTGACGTATTCTTTTCTGTACCTATTAGCTGCTTTTAAATTTCTACTCAAATCTGTTGATCTGTCTTAAGCATTTACATTAGCATATCATTGGTTTTTGTGCGACCAGATTGCAAGTCCCGTCGGGGTTGTTTGCTCTTGTGCCGTAATAATAACCGTGTTGCGGCAATCTTTAAAAGTTACATATGATATGTAACATATCACAGAACGGCCGTCTTGTCACTACCGCTGCCGTGTGATATAAAAAAGCATCACTGGCCTTCTTTTTACCAGATCCTTGCGAAAAAAAATCACATATGCATCAGCACCATCACATACGTACACAAAAGGTAGTAAAAGAAAGGAAAGTAGACTGTCTCATTCATGTGGCAACTTGAACCATATGCATCTTGACCAGTTTGACCAACTCTGCCCTCTCCTGTGTCTTTTGATAAGAAGTAGAGAGGTTTGCAGGTGTTCCAGACCTATCGGTTCAAAAAGGCGAGTTAGGCGGGATGCAGAGCTAAACAGCGAACGGTCATCACACAAGAATGGGTCTGATTCAAACCGCTTACCATTTTTATAGCGTTTGCGATGATAAGCCTCGGTGATATGTGGCGGTTTGAGAGTCATCGCAACACGGTTAATAGTAATGTAACAGATGACAGCCGAGGGGTCACGAGTGAGCTTTATTGACAAATAAAGGGAATACAAGTACTGCGTAATAGCAGGAAGAAAGAACAAAGCACGTCTGGCTGAATCCAGCAAGTGGTTGCTAAACGGGTTCTTGAGCATCTGTCTAGATGTGAAAGAATATACCAATTGCGCCAAAACACGAATCGCGACATACTTACATCGAAGTTCACCCTTTACATACTTACATCGAAGCTCGAAAAAGGCTTGATTGGCTGGGCTTCGATGTAGGTCCATTTTCGCTCGAAGTCTGTCGCGGGGCGTTGACGAAAACCGTTACACAGATAGGCGTACCTTGTAACGGGTCTAAGCGACACCCAGTTACTTACAAACTTCGTGTTTCTGCGATTTTGATTTGCTGGTCAACATTTTGAGTTAGATCGAGGCTGCCCACCGCCAATAGAAAAATTCGAAATCTCGTGGTTTCTCTCCATACTTGCCGCTGCCAGTGCAGTTAACAACAAGAAACACAGTAAAACAACGCGTTCTACTGTTTTGTTTTTATTTTCGAAGTTCGTATTTGCTTTTTTATTACTTTTATTTTCAGTTTCTTTATTAAAATGGAGATTTAAAGTGGTAATGCTGACACCTTTATGTCCATAGCAGGGAAGCCTGTATTTCTGGGATTCCAGAGAAAAATGGTTTATTTACAGTACTATACTGTTTAGCCCGATGAGTTCTTACCTTTGGGATTTTTCTTAACATCAGCTTTGATTATTGTCGACGTGCGTATTACAATTCGCTAGGAAGGCCAAAACGTGCGTAATACCTGTTTGGCCTTCTTTGATGATTTGTGATATTCTCGACATAGATTGTTGGCACCGTATCGCAGGGAACCCTGCTTGCTGGCTATCCAGCCGTAGCTGATGTTGAAGTGAAGTGAAGTGAAGTTTATTGTCCTTGCAACGGAGCGGTTGCCCCCTCTAGGCTTCAGACAGTAGAAAGAAAACAGAGTTTAGTAAGAACATCGAAAAATAACAATAAAACATGAAGGTCATTTTGACATTACGTAAAAAAAGCAGGAAAAAAAATACGCAGAAATCAAGCTTTAGCCATAATCGCATGAACAGGCAGAAAGAAAGTCAGTGCTTTTGTTACGGTTGCGAAAAGTTATATTTACCTGTGTGGAAAATGGGAGGGAGACGATCGCGCTGGGGTCGATGCGTAAAACTGCCTTCTATGGTTCAGTGCTTGTTCTGCTTTAACACCCGACTGCCACTATTCTTACTGGATAGCCTTGCACAGTAAGCCGGATAAAGGTTTTATTTCAAACTGATGGGATAAGTTATAAATTGGCTTGATGTATTTTAGTCAGTTTTTAATTTTGGCCTGTGTTGTAAGGCAATAAATTACTTATTACACTATACCGTAGCACAGCGGGTTCCCGCTTTGATCTGGCTACCCAGAAATACAATTATGTATTATGTTAGCCGCGTATTTCTAACTCTATGTAGTTAAAAATTAAAGTATTCTATAATAATCATTTTTTGGCGCTCTTTGTGATCGCGGGTTGTGAATTTATAGCAATATTCTTTGTGTAGAAATGCTGTGCTGGAAAATAAAATATCAGCGCAGCATCTATTTAAGTCTGTGCGTCTTGGCTGTTGTGCGCACGCGATCGGGTTTAGCCTTTACAGACATACACGAAAGATGTGCAAACGAGCGCGGTTTTGAATTCTTTGTTTGTAAATGCACGGTAAAAATCGATGTAAGTCAGTCCCTGATGCGCCTATGCGCAGTGACTATAATGCTGGCGACAAGCACGTGCGTGATGCGATCGGGACATATCAGCTGTGTGAGGCGCAGACTGGACTCGATCCAACGCGAGCGTATGAACGCTGATTGGTGCTGCGAGAGAGGGACGAGAGAGCAGTGCCGCTCAGTGTATGCGCTGCATATATCCGCTTCAGCAGATGAGTGAGTGCAGTGCAGCAGCACAAGAGAGAGGCGATGCGGCATGCAAGTAAGTGCAAGTGCGCCCTGTGTGGGCGGAGCACCACGCGCAGGCTCGTATGCCTAATATGCCTCTGGGCGGGAATCTGAGCTCCTGAGAAGGATGCTCCGACTCGATACCGCACCAGTATCGCACAACTCTCCGGTTGGACCCATGTAGGGTCGAAGGTACGCGTCCTCAGCAGCGGGAGTCCGGTGTCTGGTTGACCGTCCCATACTTCACTTCCGAACCCATGAGAGGCAAGCAGTTCACGGCCGGGAAATCCGGAAGTCGCTCGGGCGTTTTCTTGGACCGGTGATGCATCTGTTGGCTGGCTTTTTGCGTCGGTTGGCATCGGAGAACAATGTGAAAAGAAAATGTGATGAGTTATACAGCACGAAAGAAAAATGTGAAATAAAGTTTAATCACAATTCCAGTGAGCAAGAAGGGGTACAAAACAGATCTGTTAAAGAGATCGAACTAGAAAAAATACAATTCCGTTTGTTAGGAAAAAATGCTAAAAGAAATGCAAAAATCTGTCCGGGGGTCCTATTCCGACTAGGATGACGTCCACGGGGTGCTTGAGTCGCCACAGGGTCTCCTGTTCAATCTCATCCGGTAAGTTAGGTCCGGGTTGTGCGATATTAAAACAGAAACGCTGGTGTAGAAAAGGAACACATACTCGGATGCGGTAAATTGCTAAAAAGATGACTCCCCGGCCGACAATTAAGTACTTACTTACTAAGCACTTTTAGCCACTATCAATTACACTCCTTAAAATACTTCTCCTGTGTCAGCTAATGAGTCTTCCGCAGATTTTCCCGCTGCTGCACCACACGCACCACCTGGAGTCGCTGAATTTGAGTTTTAACCCGCTGGACGGACTACAGGTGACCGACGTCAGGGCGCGGGCGCGGAGGGGTGCCCCTTGTGCCCTTTGCAGTCCGCCAGCTGCCGGCATAACGAACGTCTCCTTTCGTCCGCCCCACAGCTGCGCCGGCTGATCCTCAACGGCAGCCGCATCGATGCAAGGGTGGCACTGGCGCTGCTGGACTCGCTGCCGCAGTAAGTCCTTTAATCACTTGTCCCCAACTTGGCCTGTCTTCAGCCGTTCAGCGGGAAGAATGCCTGGCGTTGACAGTGCGGCAGTGTCGGAGTCGCGGCTGCCGGCGATTAACACTTTAGCCCGACCCTCCACGTACGCAGGGGAATCTGCGTCAGCATCGATCCACGCACATTTCTGCTTCCAGGACAAATCTCACTGTCCGGTCGTCGTCGTTAGCCGATACTTGGCGTTCGCTGCCGATCGATTAACTGGCCTAGCTGTAGTGTACAGCCTCCACAATATTTTTTTGCAGATATTTTATTTTTTTTTAACAATTTTAAACGACGATTTTTAAAATTATTTGTTAATTTTTATAAAATACGACGGCTTTATTTGGCAAGGTTTGTTATGTGCAGAGCTCATCACTTGCCGGCCTCTGAATTACATAATTCAAATGAAATGTATATTATAAATATTATTATTATTATTATATGTACAATTCCTACTCCGCCGTTTCCTTTTCCCAACATCTCCTCCTACACCGTTCGACGTAGATTTTTCGCCGATAACTTAAAAAGCGTATAAATTCCCGTAGGGTGGCAAGACGGTTTTCGTTTATCGTTATTTTCGCTTCCAAATTTACGAAACTTTTTCGGAACGAATTTCGCTTATTGGCTGAATCAGAAAGTACTAACGGCCGGCGAATAGGCGGAATCAGCTGTTATTATTGCGGAAAGAATAACTATGGCAACACCTACAGTAAGGAATACCAATACATTAGGGACTTTTAGATTTCACCACATTGCTTACGGGTTACGTTCGTATAAATACGCGGACCGTTGTTTTCCTACACCGCCGTTTTTTTTTACCCAACATCTCCTCCTACACTGTTCGACGTAGATTTTTCGACGATAGCTTAAAAAACGTCTAAATTCCTGTAGGGTGGCAAGACGGTTTTCGTTTATCGCTATTTTCGCTTCCAAATTTACGAAACTTTTTCGGAACGAATTTCGCTTATTGGCTGAATCAGAAAGTACTAACGGCGAATAGGCGGAATCAGTTATTATTTGCGGAAAGAATAACTATGGCAACACCTACAGTACGGAATACCAACACATTAGGGGCTTTTAGATTTCGCCACGTTGCTTACGGGTTACGTTCGTATAAATACGCGGACCGTACTTTATTATTATTATTATTATTATTATTATTATAATTACAATCCTCACTCCGCCGTTTCTTTTCGGTTTTTTTGGCAAACAATTCCTAGACCATTCGACATTTCAACCCGCACGATAGCTTAAAAAACGTGTAAATTCATGTAGTTTGGTTCAAAGATTTTGGTTTTTCGTAAATTTCATTTTTAGAATTACGAAACTTTTTGGAAACGAATTTCGTCAGTTAGACAGAGTGAAAGGAATTTTTGCTGATCAGACAAAAGGGTGGGCGGGGGTTCGCTGGTTAGACAGTTGGGGTGGGACTTTTGCCAGTTAGACAAAGGATGAGGGATTTTCGCCGACTAGACAGAGGGGAAGAAATTTATGCCGACCAGATAAAAGGGAAAGAATTTTCGCCGGCCAGACAAAAGAAGAAATATTTTTGCCGGTTCGCCAGTGGGGAAGGGAATTTCGCCGCTTAGACAGAAGATTAGGGATTTTCGCCGGTTAGACAGAGGGGAAGGAATTTCTGCCAATCAGACAAAGAGGGAAGAATTTTCGCCGGCCAGACAAAAGTAGAGAGACTTTTGGTGGTTAGCTAGGGGAAAAATTTCGCCGCTTAGACAGAAAATTAGGGATTTTCGCCGGTAAGATAGAGAGAAAAAATGTTTGCTGATCAGACAAAAGGGGAAGAGTTTTCGCCGGCCAGACAAAGGAATAAGATTTTTGCCGGTTCGAACGTGAAGGGAATTACGCCACTCAGACAGAAGGCTGGGGATTTTCGCCGGTAAAAAAGAAAGAAAAAGCTTGCCGATCAGAAAAAGAGGGAAGAATTTTCGCCGGCCAGGCAAAAGGAGAGGCATTACTGCCAGTTAAACAGTGAAGAAGGGAATTTCGCCGGTTAGACAAAGAGGTAAAAATATGAAGTACAGAAAGTAATAACTGCATTTTATAAAAATAAAATTTTTAAAATTCGTTTCTTCTATATTAATTATATTATTAAAACCATGAACAAAATTCAGTCTCGCTCAATTCATCTTTCATTTTACGGATATTTTTTTTGGCAGCTTTTGACCTGAGTGCTGTATTTTTATATTCAGAGTTTATGAGCAATCCAGATTTTGGTTTTGCTGAATCGTTTATAACAAAATCCCATTCCGAGTTTCTAAAATTCGACGTTTGCAAACCGAGGCCGGAGGCCGAGGGTTGCCTTGTATGTACAATTCCTACTCCGCCGTTTTTTTCGCCTTTTTTACCCAACATCTCCTCCCAAACCCTTCGACAGATCTGCATACACGATAGCTTAAAAACTCCGTAAATTCCCGAAGGGTGCCATTAAGGTTTTTGTTCTGCTTACATTTCACGCCCAAAATTACCAAACTTTTTCGATTTAAATTTCGCCTATTGGCGAACAGGCGGATGGGCGGAAACAAATATTATTCCCTTACGTTAACGCTCGCTCGCTTAACGGTACCTTGCTGTATTTACGTGTCAACAAACTAACCATGCATACCCTTAGCAACTAATACAGCAGAAAATTTTAACACAATAATTTCCACAGGTGCTGCGCGAACAGTCTGGGCGAATAGTCATCAGATATGCTTTTCACTGTGTACCGTTGCAATAAAGTTAACAGATCATCCTGTCCACATTGCATCTGATTAACGTTCAATCGAATCGAATTTGTTCTGTAGGTGGATGACATATCCCACACGAAAGTGATGCGGTCAGAATGCGAACGTGCGCATTCTGGATTCGTTTATTCTGCACGATTTTCGAAACTAACGGCTTTTAAAAAATCTGTGCTATTATATTTTTCTCCTTCAATTAAAAGCCCAGTTGGCTAGAAATTCAATGGTCGAAGTCGATCGGATTTCGCGACAGCTCCGTTGGAAAATTGGACGTTCTGCAAAGTGCTGTTAAAATGTGCGCAAGCGATGAAGCGTCCGTATCTGAGCGCATACCTGGGATGCGATTTAGAGAGCGACCAACTAACTGCATAATAGCAACACTCGAATTTGCGCGAAGTTAATTGAAAATATACAGAAAAACGACCAAATCAGCATAGTTTATCCGCATCACTTTCATGCGGGCATCCTGTTGAATTTTGGCAAGGTTATCGATTGAGCTTTGCTGAGATAGTACCGAATGGAGTAATTGAAGCCGTTCCGCTGAAATTTCTTTAGTGATTCGATTTTTTCGATTGCTTATAATGCTTATTAATTTTATGCTGTTTCCTGAACGGATGCCGCGTTTCCACCCTGGATTTCTATGCTGATCAGCTAAAACAATATTCCGTAACTCGGTACCGATGGCTGCGTCATTATATTATAATAAAAATATTTCATATTTACTTATAACTTTTTTAAAATTATTAATTATTATTATTTATATTACCATAATAATATAAATAAGTTAAAATATAAATAAATATATTACAAGTAAATAATATTATAATACTATCCTAATATAAATAAATTCGTCCATATTTATTTATGACTTAATAATATTATTAATTATTTTTATTTATATTATCATATTAACAATTATATTCATAAATGTCTCAAATTATAAATTATAATTAAACAATGTAAATAAGAATTTATTTTATTTTTATTTATGGGAAATCGCAATAGCCCCGTTTTTTTAAGCTACCCGCATTAGCAGCCCATTAAACATGGGCATCTCTTTAAGCAAATAATTTAGCTACAACACCCTGTTTGCAGTTATTACAAACACCCATTTTATTGTCCTTAACCGGAATCTGTAACTTATTTAAATATTATATATATTTCATTACATATATAAATTTTATATTTCATTAAATTATGTTTTATTATTTATTATATTTCATACTTTTTATTAATTTATTATTACGAAACATGATAAATTATCCCCTTTATAATAATAAACTAAGTAAAGTAATTTAGAAAAACAAATTAATTATTTTTTAAAAAAATTGTAGATATCAAGAATTTTGTAGATGCCTGCCAAGAAAAGAAAAGCAAGGCCGTCCACAGCGAGCCAGAGCAAAAAACAAAGAAAAATATGAGAATGCAAAGAGTAAGAGAAAGGCATCCCCAGAGCCAGCGGCAAAACGCCTGAAACGAGCAGAAAAGGCCAAACCGCTCAAAAATATTCTTCCTCAGTTGAAAAAAGTAATTTATCATAACGTTGTATAGGTAATACAGCCATCACAAAATCTTTATTCCTGCAGTTAACCATGAGGCCCTGCGATCGATGCGGAGCAATGCTTTTCAATACAGATGCAAAATCACTTTGGTGTAGTTATTGATTTACCGCACGTACCAGTAGCGTTCCAAGCCCTTTACAAAGAAAACCCAGAGCTCTGTAACCGAAGTCGAGCGTATAATAATCTTTTTGCATTCTCTGCCATTGGTACTTCCGGGGAATTCATCAAACAGACAGGAGGTCCATCAAACCTGATTCTGCATGGGTGCACGTATCACCGAATGCTTAACGGTAGTGTTTAAATCATTTGATGTTTAAAAATTTGTGGATTTTTTTTTCTGTTAATTGCTTTTTGCTCACTTTATGCTGTAGGATCTGATAGTACCGGTCCTTTGAGATGGTTTGTTAGCGATGCCAGCGTACCGAAGACCGCTGCCCAAGAAGAAAAATTAAGCGAAAATTTAGTCGAATCCATTCGCTCAATCCTTGAAGAGAACAACTATTTCTGGGGCAAATTTAAGCGCATGTCACAAGATTCTTCCCAACAGATACGAATGGAGTTAACCGTCTCAGCAAAACGAGAAATCGCGGCCATTAGATTATTATCGCCCGACAGTCGCGATATACGGTCCGGTATACGATACGGTGGGACACCGTATCGTGACCGTACCGTTGATAAGTTGGAGTGATCGCAACGCGCAGACGGTAAACGATACGGTCCAATCCTGCCTCTGACGTGAAGTATGCTGCGGTTCAAATCGGTTTTAAGACTTTGGCAGATGGTAACAATCGTTCAGGTTAAAACTCGATGAAAACTAAAATGCTAAGCTATTTTTCGATACCAAAACGGCCAGATTTAACAGCCCATGAATCTTTCTACGAGCATTTAGATTTTAACACAGGCGCCTATGGAGTTTTAATAACAGCTCGCGCAGAGTACTCCAACGGCTCCGTAAGCTTTGCATGCTAAATTCACATGGCTGCAGAATAGTTCGTTTTCAGATAAACTGCACTTGCTTGGTATCAAAAAATTCCTTAGAATTTTATCTTTCTTCTTATATCCTTTTCTGATGAATCAAGAACAATTAAAATCTACCAGAAGAATTTTAAAGTTTCATGATTTGGCAGCTGCACACGTTGTGCTTCATGCCACTGCCAGTGAGGGTGGTTGCTATATCGCAGATGTCAACGGTAGTCATTACGATATCTCAGCCTTCTACCGTCAATCCTACCGTTAAACGGTCCGGTAAGGGTACGCCGTGATGACGTGAAAGAGCCTACCGTATATCGTACCGTCTATCGTAGGTCCATTTTGTGTTGCGATAAGAATCTATTATATGCGACGATACGAGCGGTGACACGCAACAACGTTCAGTAGTTTGCTGGAAGAATACTAATGCTGAGCCGACCTTCATCGAAACCTCGAACGCCATGTATTTTCCACTTCAATACGTTTTATTGTATCCTTCTGGAACTTTGGGATGGGATATTAATATGAAAATAACCGCTAATATTACACAGCTTAAATACTGTCGACAGATGATTTTGAGACATGAACCGCTACACTATTTTGGTCCGTTATTTAACGAGTATTCAGTTGATTCGTTCAGTGCAATCGAAGAACCTCGATTAGGGTTTCATCGCTTAACCCAACAGAAAATTTGTCAGCGCAAAGAACTTTGAGTCAATTGCCAATGATGATGATGTTGGGCGAACGTTTTTACCATCGAGTCATCTGCACTCCAAGCGCAATATGCAGGAGAACACTGCAGATGCTCTTGCAATTGTAGCGAAATTTGGTAAACCGACGTATTTTATAACAGTTACGTGCAATCCGAAGTGGCCTGAGATTACATCGCAATTGAAACCTCATCAAGATGCCTCTGATAGGCCTGACATTGTAGCAAGGGTCTTCAAGGCGAGACTGCAAGAAATATTCGCTGATTTGGAACGTGCCTTTGGAGGCGGGTCAATTATTTACCGTATTCACGTTATTGAGTTTCAAAAACGAGGGTTGCCTCACGCGCATATTGCCGTCAAAATGGCTAAAGAACCGCACACAGACGAGGAAATCAACAAGGTGATTTCCGCCGAACTTCCAGTAAACGATCCAGAATTGAAGCAGGCAGTCGAAAAGCGCATGATTCACCGGCATGTTGAGGATCGGTGCTTTCGAAGAAAAGGTCATCTCAATGTACCGGATGCAAATGGCCACGTACACAATAAAACGTGTGTGGCCTTTTATCCAAAGCCACTGAACAGCCACACATATGTTGACGATTCTGGTTTTCCACATTAACGAAGGCGTAGCGACGCTGATTGTTGCGTTGTGCCATATAATCCGCATCTGCTCCGTAAATATGATTGTCATATTAACGTTGAGATCTCCCATTCAGTACGGATAAGAAGGTACCTTTACAAGTACTTTTACAAAGGTCCTGATTATGCCAACGTAAAAATGTCGAATGGAGATGAAATAACGGAATATTTAAATGCTCGATATATATCGGCGTCAGAGGCAATTTGGCGGCTCTTTGAATACGAAACAACCAGAAAAATCCCATCCGTTGAGCAGTACCCTGTCCATCTGCCCGATCGGAACTATATCGTATACAGTCCGAAGCAAAAAAAGTTAGAAAAAGCAGAAAAAGTGAAGCAGCTGTCACCTTTGGAGAAATATTTTCAGAGACCAGCAGGTGCTGATTTTGATGCTCTAAAGTACATCGAATTTTATTCAGAATACACTGCCAACACGAAAAAACCACAATCGGCTGAAAACGTGTTTGAATGTAAGATGTCCGATGGGAAGTTTTACTACGTTTATCCACGGAAAACGGTTCATGTGCCACGTCTGGCGCTTAAACGGCCTCAAGCTGGAGATGTGTGGTATCTGCGACTGCTTTTGAAACATGTACCGTGTCGATCATTTGAAGAACTTAAAACAGTAGAGGGTCGAGTGTGCGAATCTTCTGCAGAAGCTGCCACTAAGCTGGGACTGTTCAATGACTCAACTGAGAGTAAGCTCTGTATGGAAGAAGCGGTTGCTCAATTTTGTATTCCGTGCCAACTACGAATTCTGTTCTTTCTGTTAATAACAGAAGGTGCACCAGGGCCTTCGCTGTATGACGCTTTCAAAAGTCAGATGTCGGAAGATTATCGAATTTACGACAAACTTACAGAATGAGAGTCAGAGAAGAAACTTCTGTCAGATCTTTTTTCCAGATTCGAAGCCGCAGGAAAAAGTATGAACGATTATGGATTAGTTGAACCGCTCAACGAGAATACATTGGTCGAGAGAGAACTGGCACGATATGATGCGAAAGACACAGAGAGCGTCCACCAAGCTATGTTAGGGCAGCTGAACAAGGATCAACGAAAGATCTACGATTTCATCGTTGAAAAAATTCAGAGCAAGAAAGGTGGATTGATCTATATAAATGGCGCTGCAGGTCAGTTTGTGTTTTTTATTAACTGCTTTATTGTCTAATTATCTTTACTACAGGAACTGGAAAAACGTTCTTGGTGAAATGCATAGTAAGCTTCGTCCGTGCAGAAAAAAGAATAGCTCTTTGCTTGCGAGCTCAGCTTTTGCTTTTGTGAACGCAACATTATTTTTATTGAAGCGCGAAACATTAGTAGCAGAACACGGGTTGTGCCAGTACTGCTATAGCAGCATCGAATTATGAAGGTGGCAGAACGGCACATTCAACTCTACAGATACCAGTGGAAACAGACGCAGCAGAAAAAATTGAATGCAACGTACCAGTAAAATCACAAAGAGCAGATTTGTTGCGCGAAGCTTCTGTGCTGATTTGGGATGAGTTTGTTATGACGCACAAGAAAAATTTTCATGCTGTTGACGAAATGCTAAGAAAGGTGCGTCGTACTCCAGAAGTGTGCGGGGGTATATTATTTATTGGGATTGGCGACTTCCGGCAAAGTCCGCCAGTTATACCGTACGGATCCAAAGACCAGATAGTTGCCGCCAGTATTAAAAGTTCAAAACTGTGGAAACTATTTCAAACGTTTTCGTTGAAAATGTCTGTAAGACGGAGTGACCCCGAATATGCCAGGTAACCCAACGTGACTTAAATTTCAGCGGCCTTCTGCCATGTTTACTGTTGCAGGTTGTTAGATAAGGTAGGCGACGGAACTTTGCAAGAAGACGAGGAAGGCTACGTTCATCTACCTGACTACCTTAACTACACGACATCGCTTGAAGATGCTAAAAAATTTGCTTATCCTGATCTAAAAGAACCGGGCAGATGCGTTTAAGATACAGCAATATTGTCGCTACGGAACTATCAGGTGGACAGTCTGAATGATGACATATTTAATGATCTGCCAGGCCGCGCTGGGACTCTGCTCAGCTACGATGAGCTTGACTCAACTGACGGATCTTCTAGTCAGTAACTTAACAATTTATCAGTGAACTCAGCTAATCTGATTATTTTGGCAGATCACTTTGACGATGGCCTCAACGAAGATTTCTTGCACTCATTAAATGAAAACAATGTTCCTCCCCATGAGCTAAAAGTTAAAGAAGGAATGGAGTGCTATTTGTTACGCAACATATCTCCAGAGGATGGGCTACTGAACAACGCTAAAATCATCGTTTTGAAATTTACCAGAAACGTTTTAACAGCCAGAGTTGTTGCAACAGGAAAGGTTGTGTACATTCCCAGGATTCAGTTCACACTTAAAATAGAGCGCAAGAATTTTCAGATGAAACGAGACAATTCCCTATCCGTCCGTCTTACGCAAGAACATTTAACAGAGCCCAGGGAGCAACCCTTATGAAGTGTGTGTTAGACTTACGTGATGCGCCGTTTGCCCATGGACAGCTTTATGTAGGTCTTAGCAGAGTTCGGCACAGAAACGACATTTTGATTTTACTGACTGAAGAACAAGCTAATTCTGTCTATCCCTTAAGAACTCGGAATGTGGTTTTTCATGAACTTCTAGTAGAGAGTGAATAAAAGCGAATGCGATGAAAAAAATTAATATGCTGTAGTGGTTAGAATATAAGAACTGACACCAAATAATTAAGATGATGTAATTACACAGAAAATACGGTAATAATATAACTAAAACGCTGTCCAATAACAATAAAATTTTTACAACAGTAAATTATCAGTGCGAGTTGTGTAAATAACTTGCTGAAGAAATCCGTAAGGAGAACTTCTCTCTGCAACCCGTAAGGGAACCAGAAACAGGCAAGTTATTAAGCAGCGCGTATGGTAGTTTGCATACAAAAACACGCACAAGCGCTACGGACTGTACAAGTTACATGAGAAAATTATCCGTATAAAGGTTAACTTCATCTGCAATCCGTAAGGAGACCAGAACCGAGCAAGTAACTATGCGGTCCGTAGCACGTTTTCTTTATAAAGATTTAAAAAAAGTTAGGTCAATCATCTGTGAGGTATCTCGGTACTTAAAATTAAAAGAACAACGATAACAAAAGCTATTAAGATTTTTTTAACGATGCTAAATTGGTGCCGCGTGAGCAAGTGACTTGCTAAAGTAATCCGTAAGGAGAGCTCCCCCTCTGCAATCCGTAAGGAAACCAGAAAGAAGCAAGTCACTGAGCTGCACGTGTCGCTAATTTACATCCACAAACTGCGTACGCCAGCAACGGACTGCATAAGCAACTTGCAGAAGTAAGCCGTAACGAGAACTTTTGCAACCGTAAGGTCAGCAAAAGCGAACAAGTTACTAAGCTGTCCGTATGGCTTTCATAGCTTTTACTTAATATAAAGCTTTAAAACTTAATACTTACAATTTTCTCTACTGTACGGAAGTCATTGTGAATTTAAGTTTATAATTTTAGTTATCAAATACATCGAAATTTTTAACTTACTTTCAGAGTTCAACAAACCAGATTTTTATATAATATATTCCATTTTTTTATTTGGTAATACGAAAATTTCTTAAAATTTTTGACCCTTACCAGCTGGCGGGTTCCACGTGGCAAGGGTTGGGTGTGGTTAACAAAGTTTTATTTAACCACAGCAAACAGCCAGTCTTACAAAACATCACTATTACAAATTCTACAAACTCAACTACAGTTTCTACAAATTCGCCGTGAATGCAAGCCGAGGCCGGAGGCCGAGGGTTGCCTTGTAAAGACAATTTCTACTCCGCCGTTTTTTTCCCCAACATCTCCTCCTACACCGTTCGACGTAGATTTTTCCACGATAGCTTAAAAAACGTCTAAATTCCTGTAGGGTGGCAAGACGGTTTTCGTTTATCGTTATTTTCGCTTTCAAATTTACGAAACTTTTTCGGAACGAATTTCGCCTATTGGCTGAATCAGAAAGTACTAACGGCGAATAGGTGGAATCTGTTATTATGGCGGGAAGAATAACTATGGCAACACCGACAGTACGGAATACCAACACATTAGGGACTTATCTAATTGCGGCTGGCATCAGTTACCTCACGACCTCATTATCCGAAAATAAGGCCTTTGTTTACGGCTACGGCAAAATACATGCGGCACATGCAGAAAATGGGTCAGATGTTGTGTACTACGGTGCGCGCAATACACACGTACGTAACCAGGACATTGGCAGGAAAATCTAAAATTCCTTATTATTGGAAAGTACTGTTGCAGTGATAACGATGGGCGGAAACAATTAACACAATGAGAATCCGACATGTTCAGATTGTACAAGTATTTTTGCATTTGTACAAGTATCTTTGTATTTTACAAGTATCTTTGTATTCGAAAATACACAAAAAAACATTACGGAAATTTTGCCCAAAAACCTTTAGCAATTCAAATAATAGCTAACGATAATAAAAAAAATAATAAATTTACGAAATTGAAGCAAAGGCCTGCATTTCCACATGAAATTAATGAAATTGTACATACACTACATCGTACGTACATCGTACATTCAAAAATACACAAAAAAACCTTACGGAAATTTCGCCCAAAAACCTTTACCAGTTTAAATTATAGCTAATGATAATAAAAAAAATAATGAATTTACAAAAATGCAGCATTAAAAGATAGCTTTTATAAGAGCGATCTGATACAATTCGAAAATGCACAAAAATGTCCTTACGGAAGTTTCGCCCATAAACATTCAGTAGTTTAAATTATAGCTATCGATTACAAAAAAATCTTCTAAATAAGCAAGCAATTCCTGTTTCTTGATAACTTCTGAGAACATTACGTCTGCTAGGCAATCTGGCGTACTGATATTTCGGCAGATTAATTAGTATCCTTGCTAATGCGGCACAGGAAACACAAAATTTTCGGCAAAACTTTAGGTCATGCCGAGTTGTTCGTATGCCGAAAGAGGAGTACGGCAAGAATTTTTAAAAAGGTCACATCTGCAATTTTTAGTACACTTACTTTACAATTTTCCATTAAATTAGCGGAACATAAGTAACGGCAATACGGAAACAACAAAATTACTGCACAAATTTGATAAACACCAGCGTTAAATCTGTTAAGTTTAGGCAACATAAATATCTTAGTTAATGTATTTATATCGCCGAAAAGAACCGTTTTGTGGCCAACACTCGGTAGCCTTAACCCAACGCCGAAATTAAGAAAATATGTTTCGAACATCGTTTTCGTTTTGTTTTCAAGAACTAGCTAATGTTCTTGAGATTATGACTTTTCTAGATTAAGCGGTAGGAAAGAAGTGTTCGCCAAACTGTACCAGTACTTTCACTAGGCAGTCATTATCTGTTTGCGCAAATGTACTATAGTAGTTGATAATCCAAAATTGTTGTGTTCGTAAAAATAATACAAATTCAAACAAAAAATGTTCCAGCCAAAATAAATAAACGTTCATTTTTTGCAACAAAAGTAATTACGACGGCTGCGGTAAACATAGTTTATCCGGTACTTTTAAGATTGATTTTGTTTTTAAATATTTTAGATACTTTTTCGCTAGAAGTATTTAATATTTTGTTTTCCACAGTTTCTAGAAATTCTTTAATTTTCTTCTTTCTACAGTTTCTACAAGTTCTACGTTTTGCAAGCCGAGGCCGGAGGCCGAGGATTGCCTTGTTATAAAGACAATTCCTCACTCCGCCGTTTTTTTTCCCAACATCTCCTCCTACACCGTTCGACGTAGATTTTTCGACAATAGCTTAAAAAGCGTCTAAATTCCCGTAGGGTGGCAAGACGGTTTTCGTTTATCGCTATTTTCGCTTCCAAATTTACGAAACTTTTTCGGAACGAATTTCGCTTATTGGCTGAATCAGAAAGTACTAACGGCGAATAGGCGGAAGTTATTATTGCGGAAAGAATAAGTAACAATGGCAACACCTACGGTACGGAATACCAACACATTAGGGACTTTTAGATTTCACCACGTTGCTAACCGTAAGACGCTTACAGGTTACGTTCGTATATATACCTTGACCGTAGTACACAACCTCCCGCCCGAAAACCTCTTCCCAAGATAGGCGTAACTTATCTAATTGCGCCTGACCTCGGTTCTCTCACGATCTTATTATCCGCAAGATAAGGCCTTTGTTTACGGCTATGGCAAAATACATGCGGGATATGCATAAAATAGGTCAGACGTTGTGTACTACGGTCCGCGCAATACACACGTACATAACCAGGACGTAGGATGGAAAATCTAAAGTTTCGCCCAAATACGTTTAATAGTTTAAATTATAGCTATCGATGACAAAAAAATCATTTATTTGACATTTAAATACGCAAACAATTGCTGTTTCTCGATGATTTTTGAAAACATTGCGTCTGCTAGACAATCTGGCATATGAGTATTTCGGCAGAGTAACTGGTTTCTTAACTGATGAAGCAACAGAAACATATAGTTTTCGGCAAAACTTTAGGCCATGCTGCGTTATTCATATGCCGAAAGAGGAGTACGGTAACAATCTTTTAAAAAGCCACGTCTACAATTTTTAGTACAAATACTTTACTACTGTACACTAAAACTTTAGAAAGCTGTAAAAACATATACTGCATTATTCTCTGGTATTTGTCACCTGTTCAGTTACAAATACAGTTAGCTATACAGGAGCAGCGGAGGATATGATAACGGCAATACGGAAACAACAAAATTACTGCAAGAGATTGATCAACACCAGCGTTAAATGTGCAAAAACAAATTTCGATTAGCTGGGCACTACCATAGTAAAGATATATATAATGCTTTTCAGTGAACCTACTCTTTAGCGTAGGCGAATAACTTCAATCCTTATGTAAACTGAGCACCTCGAGCAAATGAACTTTTATGACGGTGGCAAAATTAACACGCACATTGAACCTGTATGCGATGAGCTTAGCGCTAACGTGATGTCTTACTGTCCACACAACTTTGAGGGAGCATCTTACGCACGAGTATTAACAATGCACGCTGTCCGTCTCGATCAGAAGTAAGAGGCTGATCTAGTGACTGGCAGTGACTGGCCACCGTCTCCAAGTCCACTGGCCGAAGGTCTGCTAATGAGATTTTTGTACCTCAAGTTGGATAAAGGGACAGAGAGAACGCGTAAAGAAGTCGACTGGGTCTGGCACTACTTAGTCCTTTGAATGTTCGGTGAAAGCTCGTGAAAAACGCTGCAGTATCTTTTTTCAGAAGATGTTGACAGGCGGAGAATTCTACATTCTGTTATCAGTATAAACATTTTTCGAAACAATCTTATTGAGGGATACCTTAATCAAAGACATCATCTTGGAAGCTGAAATGAACATGGAGAAGTTTTATTTGCAAAAAAACCAACACAAACAGTAACAAATCAGTAAAAGGAAGTAGAAATAATTAATAAACAGTGATAATTATAACAAAAAAACTAAATTCTAAAGACGGTTTTCATTTATCGTTATTTTTAGTTTCCAATTTACGAAACTTTGTCGGAACGAATTTCGCCTATTGGCTGAATCAGAAAGTAATAACGTCGAATTGGCGGAATCAGTTAGTATTTGCGGAAAGATAACTATGGCAACACCGACAGTACGGAATACCAACACATTAGGGATTTTTAGATTTCACCACGTTGCTTACGGGTTACGTTCGTATAAACGCGAACCGTAGAACACAACGCCCGAAAACCTCTTCTGAAGATAAGCGTAACTTATCTAATTGCGGCTGACCTCAGTTCTCTCACGACC